TGCTCTTCTGCTACAGAAAGAAAAAGTATTTTAAGCGAAACTGTAACCTTGTGGATACTCCAGAAGTACCAGAGCCCTGTGCCGAAGATCCATTTTAAGGCTTGGTTGCCATCAGAGCCCCGCCTCGCGCCTCCGCCCACTGCCACCACGCCCCATCTGTCCGGCACCCCACTGCCCGACCACGCCCCGCCCCCTGCCTCGCCAATGCTTTGCTTCCCCGCCCTCTGCTCCACTTTCCCCGCCCACGTCCCGCCCAGTCTACGCATCTATTCGTCTAGCTTACCTTACCCCGCCCACCCCATCGACTCCCCGCCCAGCGCCTCTGAAAACCCCGCTCCACTTCCCGCCCATCTACTCCCCAATGCTCCGCCCCACGCCCGGCCCACTTGGCCCGCCCCCGCCGCCGACGCCCCGCCCAACACCCCGAGAGCCCAGCTCCGCTTAGTCCGGCCTCTGACGGCCACTGGACACAGTCTGCAGCTCCGTAGCCTTTCCAGATGCCGCCGACGGTCGCTGATCATCCCGCAGGCGCCAGTGTGGAGCCCAGTGTTCCTGGGGTGCCCTGTCCGGGGCTCCCACTGCCCCGCGTGGGACGTCCCCGCGTGGCCCGAGGAATCGGGTGAAAGCTGGACGAGCCCCCAACTGTAGACTTTAACGGCGGGCGGGGACGCGCTGCAAGCAACCACGTGCGCTGTACTAGACGCGCGCAACGTGTCCTTCGGGACCACCCAGGTGCCCACACTGTGACCCGGCTGCCTGGGCCTCAGGCCGGGTATACTCCAGCTTCGAGTTGGAGCAACTTCAGGGTGGCAAAGGGGAGATCCGCACCAGCGAGTGGCTCCTGCACTGTAGGCCAGAAGCTCCCCAATGGGCAGCCGAAGTTACTTCTTGCTGAGCCAGTCTGGGGAGGGACAATGTGTACTCATTCCCTCATCTCAGCCTGCCCCAATTTGGGGAGGTCAGTGGCTGAACCCCAGAATGGGTGGGGTCTCTAGGGACATCTGCTGGAAGTCTGTTGGCAGGGGACAGGAGGAGGCGCACGCAGGAAGGGAGCAGGACGCTGGGGACACAGGGGGACCTGAGGATGTGATGGGGGACAGCCATCCTTCAGAGGCTAGGGCAGTGATGGTCATTCTCCAGGGTTGTGTTGTCTCACTGACTCAGGGGCCAGAGTAGCCCCAAGAACAGCAACAGGGAAGTCCCCACAAGTGGGTTTGGGTGGGCCTTTTCATAAACACCAAGTGACCCATCCAAAGCACATTTTAGAGGCATACTAGAGTGCTGAGCTCATCCTCCCACAGGCAGAAAGAAAAGGGCTGCATTACCTGGTGTGTCCCAGTGAGAAGCCAGGATGGAGTGCTTTAAGGAACTTGGGCTCTGGACCATACAAGGCTTTTTCCATATTTGGGGCAACAACCTAAAACACCTTTACCAGAGCCTATCAGGGAAAAACCTGAAGCCAGCTGATCACAGTGGGGTCAAGGCACCAGAATTTTCATCCAGCACACAGAACTTGGGGAAAACCGAGGGACTTGTCCACTATCTTGGGGTTACTCGGTTAATGTCTTTAACCCAAATACCCACCTGGTGAGTATCATGAACTGTGTTTTGTGGACCTGGAGGTCAGAGGGCATGAGAATCTGGCTGGGGTGTAATTCTGATTCCACTGTTTCCCAGCAGGGTGGTTGGACCACCTGGGCAGCAACCACCTCTTAGGCCTCAGTTTCCCCAGGGAGTTTCGTTCTTTTTTTTTTGGTACTTGGGTTTGAACTCAGGACCTAACACTTGCAAGGCACGTGCTCTATCACTTGAGCGACTCCTCCAGCACCCTAGGGAGTTTCTTGATTGGGACTAGTTCTGAAGTTGATGAGCAGCACATGTAGAGTGTAGGAAAGGCACAGCCTGTTTAGTGGGTCTCAGAGCCATACCCCTCCACCCTCCACCACACACCATGTTCATGATACCCAAGGCCAACACAATTCTGTTTAAATTTTGGCTATTCCAGCACAATAGTCCAACTTATTATACCACTGCCATGCATCATTAACATATGAGGGCCATCCCAGGGGAGAAGAGGTGAAAATGTGCTGCCTCTAGCTGCCCCCACCACACCAACCCTGGCTGCTTTACCCAAGGAAGATGTTTTCTGAGTATGCGCTAGGCCTGGGCTCCACAGCGGGGCCCTGAGCTGTGAGGAATGAGGCTTGTCACCAAGGCAGGGACAATTAGGCCAAGACACCATGAGTACACATGTGCCAAGCACAAGGCAATGTGTGGGCAGAGGAGAGAAAAAACATTTTTTTGGCAGTACTGGAGTTTGAACTCAGGGATTCATGATTGTTGGCAGGTGCCAAACCCCCGGCCTTTTTTTTTTTTTTTGCTTTCATTTTATTTTTCTCTCCCACACTTTCCCTTTCAGTCCCTCTGTGTCATATTCTGGGTAATTTTCTTTTTGTGTGTGTGTGGCACTGGGGACTAGGATTTGAACTCAGGGTCTACACCTTGAGCCACTTCACCAGCCCTTTTTTGTGAAGGGTTTCTTTAAGTTAGGGTCTTGTGAACTGTTAGCTCAGGCTGGCTTCAAATTGTGATCCTCCTGATCTCTGCCTCCTGAGTAGCTAGGATTATAGGTATGAGCCACTGGCATCCAGCTTGGGTAATTGTTCTAACATCTTTCAGTTCACCAATTCTCTCTTCATCTGTGTCTAATCTTAGCTCTTTTTGATTCTGTATACAGTCTGCCTTGACATGGTTTATATTTCCTTCTTCCTTATAAGTGTTTTCCAGTGTGGCTTCTCTCTTTATCATAGTAGGCATACTTGTCTCATTATGCTCATCTGATAATGCCAGCACCTTAGCCTCTATCTACCCACTGCTGCTGCTTCTGGCTGACACTCAAGGCACTTGGTTCCTGGCTTCCTTGGTGTCTTAGTCAGCTTGGGCTGCCATAGCAGACGACCACCACAGACAGAGTAGCTTAAACTACAAAAATTTATCTTCTGACTGAAGGTCTGAGATCCATATGCCAGCATGGTCAGGTTTGTGAGGGCCTCTTCCTTGTCTGCAGATAGCTGGTTACCTGCCATGTCTTCCTATGGCCTTTCCTTGGTGCCTGCAGAAACAGAGTGCTCTATAACTGATCCTGTTTGGTGAGGGCCCGATCTTTATAAGCTTGTTTAATCTTAATTACTTCCTTAAATCTCCAAACCAAACACACTGGGTGTAGGGCTTCAACATACAAATTTTGAAGGGGACACAGATTTTGAGTCTATAGCTATTGGGTACAGTCTTTCAACCCTCCACTTGGCCACTTAAGAATGGACCCTGGGGCTGGTGAAGTGGCTAAGGTGGTAGAGCGCCTGCCTAATAAGCATGAGGCTCTGAGTTCAAACCCCAGTACTGCCAAAAAAAAAAAAAAAAAAAAAGAATGGAGCCTGGACTTGGCACCCTTTCTTGTCAAAGATAAAGAGCCCTCAGGGGCTCTGCTGGGCTTATAGCCTTGGGTGGGATATGGGAATATCTTTCTATGTTGCAAACCCAAAGTATGCTCCTTTGTTCTGTTTAAGCATGTGTGTCACATGGCGCCTGGCTAAACCCACCATTTTATCTGTCCTCCCCAAGGCAGAGACAGAGCTATTCTACTGCAACACAAGTGGTGTGCATAGCCAATTGCCCTCATTGGCTGCTGGAAGGAACCTGCTGGCCATGAGGGACCAACATACAAGTTTTAAGTCCATCTTGCTGAGTTCTTTCTCTTTGGAGGGAAAATGTTGCCCCTGGTGACACTGATACTAGGATCAATGGCAGAAGTGAGTCCTGTCCTATGTCTGGCAACCAGTATACGGTATTATGCTTTTTTTTTTTGCGGTATTGGGTTTGAACTCAGGGCCTACACCTTGAGCCACTCCGCCAGCGCCAGCAATGCCCGGCATTCCCTTTTTTAAAAGAATTTTTTGGTGGTATTGGGGTTTGAACTCAGGGCCTCACACTTGTTAGACTGGCACTCACTCTTGGTAGGCAGGTGCTGTACCACTTGAGCACTCCACTCCACCAGCCTCAGTTTCTCTTCAGACAGAGGCACGTCTGCCAGCCCCAATCTGACCATCCAAACCCAGAAACTACCCCTGGCATGAGAGGAGTTGGTGACACGTAGCCCAGTCTCAGATAAGGACACACAACCCAGGTTCCCAGGATTGACCACCTCCATCTCTGCAGCACCAATGAAAGCTTGAGCCCCCCAGGGCAGTGCTCCTCCTGGAGTCTGCCCACCCCCCTGTCGAGGATGCACCACCTTTGCATCAACCTCACTGTACTTAGCTGCCCATGCTTCTGCGTCCTAATAAACTTCTTGCTTCTACTACTTGTTCTTGGTAAATTCTTTCACCAACCCGCAGCCCCAAAATCCCCAACAAGGGGCCGACAGGGAGGCCCCTGTCATCAGTGCTCAGGACAAAGTCAAGGCACAACGCGAGAAAGAGCCACCGCAGGACTTCCCGGGGCTGCGGGGACCAGCCGTAGCCCCCGCCGCCCAACTAGAGCCCGACCTTGCCACGCACTTGCTGTCGCGGGCCTCTCCGGGTCTCAGGCGGCTCTACTTCTCCGGTCCTAGGTCGGACGGAGCCCCCTAAACCGGAGGTATATTGTGCAGGGTTTAAAGCAGACAGCCTGAAAACCTACACCGGAAACCTCGCCCCGCCCCTCCGGGCGACGCCCCGCCCCTCACACAATTCCCGGGCGACGCCCCGCCCCTCACACAGTTCCCGGGCGACGCCCCGCCCCTCACACAATTCCCGGGCGACGCCCCGCCCCTCACACAGTTCCCGGACGACTACCAGCTCTCGGCCTGCCCCTCCCATCACCCAATCCGCGAGCGGGCCTGCGTCTCCAACGACGGGCCAGGTTCCGCCCCTTTCCTCCCGTCATCCAATCCCTGTGCAGTCTCCGTCTGCCCCGCCCCCCCGCCGCCGCCGCCGCCGCCGCCGCCGCCGCCGCCGCCGCCGCTCGCTTCCTCCGCAGGCCTGAGAAGGGTCAGCGGCCCGGGGGGAACATGGAGGCGCTGCTGAGGCGGGAGCTGGGTTATGGCTTCGTCAAGGCCACTGGCCACTCGGGAGGCGGGTGCATTAGCCAGGGCCAGAGTTACGACACGGACAGAGGACGAGTGTTTGTGAAAGTGAATTCCAAGGCCGAGGTAGGGGCGGTGGGCGGGGCCGGAGGGCTCGAAGCTGGGGCCCTGTTAGAGTCTGGATTCCGCGCCCGGGGGTTCTGGTCCGGGATGCGGAGCTAGGTTCTAGTTCCGGTTCGGGTCTGGGGTCTGCGCTCTGGTTCGGGGACAGAGCTCAGGTCCGGGGCCGGCTCGTGAAGGACTCCGGGTCCAGGGTCTAGATTCGGGGCTGGGCTCAGGTACTGGTTCCGGTTCAGGGTCTGGGTCGCGTCCTGGTTTGGGCAGGATCTGTGTCTGGGATCGGGTTCGGGTCCGGAATTCTGGACCGGGCTTGAGATCTGTGTATCGGGTCCTCGGTCCGGGGCCAGCTCGCGTCCAGTGCTCAGGTCCTGGTTCGGGTCCAGTGCCCGGGTCGGAGGTGTGTGACCTTTGCGGACCAGCACTGGAGTTGGGGCGCTACCCGTGCGTGACCGCCGCGGTGGTGCACGTGCGTGCTGTGGATGGGGTTCCTGCGATGGGGTTCCTGCGATGGGGTTCCTGCGATGGGGTTCCTGCGATGGTCCTCCACTACTTTGTGTAGGGCGAGGTTTTTCGTTGTTTGGTGGGACTGGTATTTAAACTCAGGGCTTCACGCTTGCATAGCAGGTGCTCCATGCTTGAGCTACACCTCCAGTTTGTTTTGCTGTGGTTATTTTGGAGATGGGGTCTCTTGAACTATTTCCCCTGGCTGGCCTCCAACCGTGATCCTCCCTATCTCAGCCTCCCAGTAGCTAGGCTTACAGACGTGAGTCACTGGCACCTGGCTGTGTCTGGTGAGTTTTGAACAAGAGATGAAACCCCATGTATCAAAGACCTGGGATAGAGTAGCCACCCCATCCTATTCTGATTGTGTGTCACTTTCTCAAGGGCCCTGCGGAAAGATCCCAGACCCAGAACCTAAACTTCGAGCCTCACTGCTCCAGTCCTGTCTGCCAGTCTCTGCCTGGGTTTAAGATGGCTCCCCAGGGATTGAGTAGGATTGGGCATACCTTTTCAAATAGATCAGGAGGTGCTTTTTCTCTTACCAAGCTCTACATCTCACACACCCTCGCTGTGCTTTTATCTTTTCCTTAGAATGCTTTTTCTTTTTTAGGCAGCCCATAAAAGGTTGCCCTTGCCAGACACCAATGGCTCATGCCTGTAATCCTGGCTACTTAGGAGGCAGAGATCTGGAGGATCGAGATTCAAAGCTAGCCTGGTCAAATAGTTTGCAAGACCCTATTTCGCAAATACCTAACACACAAAAAAAGGGCTGGTAGAGTGGCTCAAGGTGTAGGTGCTGACTTCAAGCCTTGGTACCAGAAAAAAAAAAGAAAAGAAAGCTTGGCCTTGAACTTTCCATCTTCCTGCTTCAGCCTTTCCAGTGCTGGGATTACAGATTTGTGACACTACATCTGATTTAGAATTCATTCTTGCAGTTATTTTCTTTTTTTGTGTGGTACTGGGGTTTGAACTCAGGGCTTTATGCTTGCAGGCGCTCTACCACTTGAGTCTCTCCATCAGCCCTTTTTGTGTTGAGTATTTTTGAGATAGCATCTTGTGAATCATTTGTCCACGCTGGCTTTGAACCACAGCCCTCCTGATCCCTGCCTCCTGAGTAGCTAGGACTACAGGTGCCCAGCTATTTTCCTTTTCTTCCCAGAAAGGAACCCTGCCCTCGATTATGTGGGCTAATCTTACTCTGAAATGCTACTGTTCCTGCCCAGCTTCCAGCCTATCTGCAGAGGTCAGCTCTGTCTCATCCTCTACATTTTTTTTTTTTTTTTTAGGGATTTGTCAACTATTTGACCTTGCAGTTACTCTTAAATTGATTTACCCCAAGCACCAATACTTATGTAGCAGCACTGTCCCTCCTCACATTGTGCACAGGGCTTCTCTTTTTTGTTTATTTGCTTGTTTGTTGTTCCTTTTATGTAGCATCCATCCTTTACATCTTTTATTTCACTTCCCTCACATTTGTGATTATTCAAAACTTGGCATTGACTACAGGGGACTTAAATATTTTCCATTGGTCGAAATGGAACTACTTAGAGTGATTTTTTTTCTTTTTTTTTTTTCCTGATCTGGAGGTTGAGCTCAGGGCCACACACCTAAGCTAGACAGGTGCTCCACCCCTGAGCTACCCACTCATCTCTAGTGATGCTTTTTTTTTTTTTTAAGTGGTACTGGGATTTGAACTTAGGACCTCAGTCTACCACTTGAACCACTCTGCCTGCCCTTTTGTATGTTGGGTTTCAAGATACAGGCTTGAGACCTATTTGTCCCTGTTGGCTTTGAACCTCAATCCTCCTGATTTCTGCTGCCTGAATAGCTAGGATTACAGGCGTGAGCCACCAGTGTCTGGCTCTACTAATGTTTTTTAAACTTTCTTCTATGCTAGATTTGAATCATTTACTTATTTCATCTTCAAAGCCCATTTTCATTTTGCCAAACCTCCTTCTAGTTCTTTGGCAGATAGTTCCATGTCATTTTCTTGCTTGCTCTGGATTATGCAGTGTAAATTATATAGATATTCTGGCCATAGAATAAACAATTGCTGGTTATGTTGAAAATGTGTCTTTTTAATGTTTTACATTCTAGGAGAGAATGTGTTCTAATGTCTGTCCGTCTGTCTGTTTCTCTCTCTCTCTCTCTCTCTCTCTCTCTCTCTCTCTCCCCTGCTCCCATCCAGTACTGAGGTTTCAGTTTAGGGCCTCATACTTGCTGGGCGGGTGCTCTACCACATGAGCCACATCCCAAGTCCTGTCTCTGTAGACTCTTAAGACTACTTGCCTGCTCTCGTTTTTTCTTTTTTAACCCCTGCAGGAGTTGACCTGGTCTAGGTTGTTTTTCTTCTTCATTATTCTTATCTGCCTCTTGCACGTTTGTGTAATTGGTTTTTCTCTCATATTCCTCGTGTAGATCTTTTATAGATCTTTTGTAGAACTACACCCTAATACATTGGGACTACTAACAAGTAGGACTGTTGTTCTTAGCTTAGAAACTTCATGCCATGTAGCAGTAAATGTTTCTGTAAAGGAGCCTGACTTTTATCTGTGTTCACATGCCCTCTTTCACCTTTTCTTGAGTTTTTAAAAAATAGTACCTGTTGCTTTAGTCTCACAACCAGTAGCCTAGTAAAAATGTAGTCAGGGCCCACTTCCTCCCCCTTTATCTTCTAAAGAAAACTCTGTGAAAGTTCTGTTTAAGATACAGTTCTTACCTTCTCATCAACTTGGGCTCTCTAGTTAGTAATAATAATTTTCATAAATGTTTAGAACAGACTGTGTTAGCTGCTAGCTCAGTTAATCATGGCATCAAACCTAAGAATTTTAGTATTCCCATTTTACAGATGAGGAAGCTGAGGCATAAAAAGTGTGACTAACTTGCCCAAATCACAGTTAGTAACTATGAGACTAAAAAGAAGAATGTCCACTATTTATAATAACACTGTTTATAATAGCCTCAAATTGGATGCTTTGTTGTTCATCAACATTAGAATGGGCAATTACATTGTGGAATATATACAGTGGAGCACTATACATAGAGAAAAAACTGTTGTAGTTTATGCACCAACATAACAAATGCAGCATGGAATGAAGAAGCCAGAAGCCACATTACTCTGTATAGAACGACCAAGCAGGCAAAATGACTGATGGCAGAAGTGAGGGTAGAGGTGGCTATCTTTGAGGCGTGAGCAATGGCTTTCGATGTAGAGGAGAGAACTTTCTGGCAGTATCTGTACTCTTGATCTGAGTGATGGTTATGAGTCCATTAACTTAGATACTGAGGAGTTGTACTTTTTTTTTTTTTTTTTTTTAGTAAAAGTAGCAGTAAAGTTTATTAGGAGAGGAACAGTAGGGAGAAGACAGAAGCATTTCCTGTTCCATACACAGTAAATAGGAGCAAAAACTCCATACTTTTCTGCATATCTTCTAGTGACATTTGCCCTTTAAAAAGGGGGAGTATTTTAAGGGGAAGAAATTACTATGGGAAGTAAGAGAAGACTTCTCTGAGCAATTGAAACTGATGTTAAGTTGAAATCGGAAGGAACTGACTTGGTGAAAGTTGGGAGCATAATGTTCCAAGCAAAGGTGACATTTCCTGTGGGGCTTCGAGGCTTGTAGAGGCAGGGGATAGGAACACAGAGATAGGGAGGGAAGGAAGGAGAGAGGGAGGGTTATGGCCAGAAAGGGATCAAGTCTGTCATTGTACAGGAAGTGGGAAGTGTTACAGGCTCAGATGTGCCCAGGATTAGATTTGCCTTCAAGAGGGACCACTGAGCTGGGTGCCAGTGGCTCAAGTCTGTAATCCTACCTACTTGGGACATTGAGATTGGGAGTATTGTAGTTTGAGGCTAGCCCAGGCAAATTGTTTGCAAGACCCCATCTCTAAAAATAACCAGACCAAAATGGACTGGAAGTATGGCTCAAGCAGTAGAGCACCTGCTTTGCAAGCAGGAAGCACTGAGTTCAAACCCTAGTCCAACCAAAAGAGAGAGAGAGATCACTGCAGTGTGATGAGCAGGGAGACCGTTAGAGAATGGTCACTAAAAATGAATAGAAATAGTAGTCAAGATGAGATGGTTTCCAGTGCCAATGGGGGGTAGCATAGAACTTGGTAGTCCATTTAGGTGAAAGTGACCCCAGGTTCCTGGCATATACAGATGGAGGGCCACCTGTGTCCTGTCTGTGGAAAGGGTTGTGGTTGAGGTCTTGTCTGAGGATGCTGAGAAAGAGAACCCATATCTACAGTCAGCTCTGTGCTCAGGGGAATATGAGTAGATGTCTGCTTTCCTCTCTGGAGAGACTTTGGATTCAAGTACAGCATAAAAGTATGGTACAGTGCTTGGAAGTACAAGCCTGATTATTCCTGTGCAGCTTTAGCACTTACAACTCACTCTGCTGACAAGTAGCTTTGAAAAGACTGTTCATGTCTGTTGAGTCCTCAGTCCAGCATAGCTTGAAATTATAATGCAGAAGAAAACATGTCTATATAGAGTTTTTCTAGTGACCTTGCTCTCCCTTCCTTCCCTCTTTTTCCTTCTCCGTTATTTTTCTGACAGGCCAAAAGAATGTTTGAAGGTGAGATGGCAAGTTTAACTGCCATTCTGAAAACAGGCACAGTGAAAGTGCCCAAGCCCATCAAGGTTCTCGATGCTCCTGGAGGTGGGAGTATGCTTGTGATGGAGCATTTGGACATGCGGTATCTGAGCAGGTCTGTCTTGTTACCATTCTCTCAGGTTAAGTACAAAGACTTTATCTTTCCTCTGTATGGTTCTTTTCTCCTGACGCTTGTACCTGGGGCATAATGTTGAGGAGTATGGTATGAAGAGCCTGTGACTACTTATGATTGGCTCTGCAGAATGAGTGGCATGCACTCTCTGCCAGCCAGAGGCCAAGGAAGGAGGGAATCTCTTAAAGAGATGATGACAAAGGATCGAGCTACAAAGTCAAATGAGGCTGGAAAAGACCCATCAAATAACCGGAGTCCTTTGTCTCCCTCTTGCTTCAATAGAACAAACTTTCTGGGACTTTATGTGCCCTGAGACCTTTCACAAGAATGTGTCTCTGCTATTTGTGTGTCATCTGTTTAGTTGCTGCCTTTTGGTTTTACAGTCATGCTGCAAAGCTTGGAGCCCAGCTTGCGGATTTACACCTTGAGAACAAGAAGCTTGGAGAGACATTCCTGAAGGAGGCTGGCACAGTTGGTAAGGAGCTGGGTGGATCCCAGGGGACCCTCCCTAGAGGAGGACACCCATTTAGTGTGGATTTGGGAATGGGGTTATGTTGCAGCCTGTGAGCATCTATTCTGTGTTTGATGGCAAAGTCATCACCTTAAGGCTGCACATCTGCAATGTAAGTCAAAACAAGTACTTGAAAGACAGGAACTAGTGCTGTACCTCAAACAGTTACTTTTACCTCTCACTTGCCAGAAGAAAATCTAGTCAGAGTTTTTCTGGCTTTCTATGCAAGAGCAGTCTTTTAAGCACAGTGTCTGTTCTTCTAAGAACACATTATTATTGAGGCTCAGAATGATAGTTCTCTGACCTATCTAGAGCTTAGTGTGGTGTTAGCACTGAGGGAGTTTTCCAGTATTTTAAACCTCTAACAGTTGATAATCCCATATGTAACCCTTGTGCTGACTCTGCTAGCCCTTGTGCTGACTCTGCTAGATAGAGTTAGAAAGCAGATAACCCAGAATTTAGTGCACAGGACCTACTGACAGGTACATATCCTATGAGGTTGTACTTACAAGAGCATCAGGCTGCCTTTCCTGTTCCTTCTAAGCTGCATGGAGTTTAAGTAGTTGGGCTTTTCTTTGAGTTTTGGGAGCTGCACAGGATTGAGACTGTTTCAAAGTAATGGTACTTGCCGGGTGTTGGTGTCTCATACCTGTAATCCTAGCTATTCAGGAGGCAGAGATCAGGAGGATCATGGTTCAAAGCCAGCCTGGGCAAATTGTTCACAAGACCCTATCTTGAAAAAAATCCATCATAAAAAAGGGCTGGTGGAGTAGCTCAAAGTACAGGCCCTGAGTTCAAGACCCAGTACTGCAAAAAAAAAAAAAAAAGCAATGGCACTATGTAGGACACTGAAAATAATCCTTTCCTTCTTTCCTTATGGCTTATGGGGTAGATTTTTTTTTTTTCTTCTAAAGACCATCAATTTTTTTTTTTTTTGACACACTGTTATCTACCCCCACCCTACCCCATGTATCCTCTGGTACCACTTCTGGGATAGCTATTGTCCTTGGTTATTGAATATGCTGGAACAGTCCCTGTTCTGAGTGACCTGAGGGTTAGTAGAGACTGAGGCCCTTGGGTGAGGACATGAGATGGTCCTTACCACTACCACACTGAGGTCAGGCCTCGAGGTGACTCTCAGCTCCAATAATAGGGCCTAAGGGTCTCTTGGAACAATAGAACTAACTGGTGATCTTTCTTTATTTCCTTTGCATGCAAGGGAAAGGAGGTGGGCAGGAGGAAAGGCTGTTTGTGGACCAGTTTGGGTTTGATGTGGTGACATGTTGTGGATACCTTCCCCAGGTGAGTGACAAAGCGAGTGCTTCCATTTCACAGTCAGATCAGTTGTTCAGATGCTGCAGAGGAAAGTGCCCTCTTACTTTTCTGTGAGATTTTGCAAGTCTTTGTACCCACTTTTCTTTACTAATTTGTAAGAACTTGACATGAGGTTTACTCACATTATATACTACATAAGCATGGGGAAACAGAAGGGCCAGCCATTTGGGTTGCAGATTTCAAGTGAGAAAAAATTAGGAAATTTTAGAAATGTTTTCTTTTAAATATAGTCAGCCCTCCATGTCATGAGTGTTGCATCTGCATATTCAACTAAGTATATGTTGAAAATACTCTGGAAAAAATTGTGTTTGCACCGAACATGGATAGACTCTTTTTTTTTTCTTTTAATTTTATTCAGGCAATACTGAGGTTTGAACTCAGGGCTTCATGCTTGCTAGGTAGGCGCTCTACCACTTGAGCCATGCCTGGACAGACTTTTTTCTTGCCATACAGTCTAAAAACTGTTTACATAGCACTTACATGAGGTATTATAAACAATCCAGAAATGATTTAAAGTATGAGAGTGTCAGGGGGGAGGTGAGGATTTTATGCAAATTCCACACCATTTTATATAAGGATTTGAGAATTCCAGACATTTGGTATGGGGGTCTTGGATTCAATCCCCAATGAATGCCAAGGTCAGAGACAGCACAGCGATAAGGGAGTGTCCTGTCAGGTTTATTGTTTTAAGCCTGGTTTCCTGGGAGTTTCTGGGGAGTTCTGCTTGCTGTCCAGCAAATGTGGAGTGGATTGGACAGCAGCTCTGCTTTCAGAGGCCAAGCAGGTGGCCCCCTCAGGAAGAGTTACTAAGAAATCTAGAAGACTTCCAGGGTGTCCTGGTGGGCACAGGGGCACACATTTTGAAATGTTGTAGGAGATTGTCTGGAAACCTGCCTCAGGACCCTGAGTAGTATGCTTTCTTGGTCCTGCCTGCCCCAAGGGGTGTATCAGCAGCACTGCACCTTCTTTTCTTACCTGTAACTCACTGTACAGGTGTGTTTGTGTGCATATGATGCTCTATCCTCTATCCTCTGGTGTCACATCCTGCTCCATGGGCTGCTCTACTCTTATGTCTCTGTCTTGCTTCCCTCGAGAGTGGTAAGCACCTGTGGCCTGGACATCCTTTCTTGGAGGTTTTTTTTTTTTTTTTTTTTGTCTTTTCTTTTTTGGTGCTGGGATTGAACCCAGGGCCTCTCACGTGCTAGGCAAGTGCTGTACCACCAAGCTACATCCCAGCCCTTGGAGGTGTTTTTGAAAGAGGCTTCGCATGATTTTTCTCATTATCACTTTCAGATAGGGATCTTCTGTGGCCAGGCAGCTGTAGGCAGATAGTCAAAAATGAGTAATGGGGTCAGGGAGAGTCAGCTAGCTCTGGCCTCTGTGTTCCAGAGTGAGTATAATTTAAAGAAAATGTCCCAGTGCTCTTTACTCTTAGAAGGCTACAGAGGGGATCCTGCAGTGTGCCTGCTTCCTACTGCTCCTGTTCCTGAGGTCCCATGCTGCCTGGTCATCCCTTACCCTCTTAAGCCTTTTGGGACCATCATACTTTCTGCATGCTCTCCCTGCAGTCCTTTTCATTCTGGGATACTTTTGCATTTCTCCTTTACTGTCACCTGTGCAGGTGAATGACTGGCAGAAGGATTGGGTCATGTTCTATGCCCAGCAGCGCATTCAGCCCCAAATGGACATGGTGGAGAAGAAGTCTGGAGATCGGGAGGCCCTTGAACTCTGGTCTGCTCTACAGGTGAGCAGGGTCCCTGTTGCGTGACTGGTGTCAAGAACATGCCCCACTTGGCCCAATGTAGGGGAGTCTGGTTCTGGACAGGATGCAGAGTGCCTTGTCAGTATCCTGTCCAACCCCCTCCCCCTCCTACTGCCCTGCCCCAGCCAGGCATATCTGAGCAGTACTTAGGAAAACATCTGCATCTGTGTATGTATCGAATGCTTTGCTAAGGCTCCATCTTCCTCCCTGCAGTTGAAGATCCCTGACCTGTTCCATGACCTGGAGATCATGCCGGCCTTGCTCCACGGAGACCTCTGGGGAGGGAACGTAGCAGAAGATTCCTCCGGGCCCATCATTTTTGACCCAGCTTCTTTCTATGGCCACTCAGAATATGAGCTGGCGATAGCTGGCATGTTTGGGGGCTTCAGTAGCTCCTTTTACTCTGCCTACCATAGCAAAATCCCCAAGGCCCCAGGGTTCCAGAAGCGCCTGGAGTTGTATCAGCTCTTCCACTACCTGAATCACTGGAACCATTTTGGATCTGGGTACAGAGGTTCCTCCCTAAACATCATGAGGAATCTCGTCAAATAAGTGGACTTTCCCTTGGAGGGAGGCGTCTTTGAGGAGTGTGCCTCAAGCTCAGGTGTTTTCCACGTGGCTGGAGCTGCTCCGTTCCACTTAGTGGCTTGTCTTCAAGCTTTGTAAAGTATGAAATATATCTGAGGAGAGGTCTTGTCCACTGTGTCAGACTTCCTGGCTGGATCAGGCCACACTGGTGATATGAACACAGGGACCTATGCGGCCTGGGGGCATTGAACCATGCTCTGCTGTAAAGATAGAGAACTGTATGGGCATTGTAGGGGAGTGGCCAGTGTGCCCACTGCCCTCTCCTGCCTGCTTCTGTGTCCAGCAACATCTCTGAGCTGGTCATGATTATGCTTCAATGAGAAGACTGAGTCCAGACATGGAGCCATCTTATCAGAAGCTTTGAATAATGACCAATTTCAAAATCAAGCACATTCCTTTTCTTTGTGCATCATCCCTGGTTGCTGCTGCAGGCTGAGCAATCTGGAAACTGGTTCTGGGACCGACCAAACTGCCAGCCTTAGGTAAATTGGATAAATTTAGGAGCCTTGAACTGCTCCTGTTATCACCATGTCTCGTGTGCTGTTTTCCAAAGATTGCTGAATTGTCAGTCCTTTAAATACATAAAATAAGCATTGAACTAATATTTTTTCCATTCTTAAGTATTGTAGTGATCAGAAATTTCTTGAATGGCATTGATGCTAATAAATCCTTTTGCCTAAAAATTCGAATAAACTTTCAGTGGTTTCAGTGATACTACCTTATGTATCATATTCAACCATTTACCTTAGCTGTTTTCCCAGAAATACATAGGTATAACTGGTGTTTCTTCTTTTTTTTTTTTTTTTTCCCTCTGGTGGTACTAGGGGTTGAACTCCAGCATTTATTGATTGAGATGGGGTCTTAGGAACTTTCTGCTCAGGCTGGTCTCAAACTGTTATCCTCCTGATTTCTGCCTTCCAAGTAGCTAGAATTACAGTGTGCACCACTGCGCCCAGTTCTGTTTCTTAAAAGAGCAACTTTTTTCTTTTTATTCAAATGAAGAATAGCACAGAGCTTCAGACTAAGAAGAGGAGCATCCCGCAGACTGTTGATGGTATTTGACAAGCAATGCTGTTTAACTGCTATTTCTTACTTGTGAGATTTGTAAACTGGTAAAGAAGAATGAAAGTAGCAAGGATTGTATTAGGGGAAGAAGCCAACTGGTGACTGTGTCAGGTTTTATTCAAGTCTTGGAAGACACGAGGGCATCACAGAACTGAACTGAAGAGGGTGGATTTATTATTTTCTTGTTTGTCTGTTGTTTCTGTTACAGATCAGGGTCTCTTAGCAGAAGCAGAACTGATGCCTGAAGAGTTCCAGCTTTTGTGGGAAGGGGAGGACCATGACTTTGCAGAACTTGTTTTCTACCTGGTCATTCCTGGACCATCATTTGCCAGTGTTTTAGCTTAGTGCTCTCACCTTGGGGAAACTGGCAACCATGTTCAAGGAAAATGATGCCACTAGAAACTTCCTCATAACAGACTCTGCTGCTTCACTGCCTGCCTGTCATAAACATAGGCTCTGCTTCCAAGATGGCTTAGGTTTGGGCTGCGCTAGACTGCAGGTCCTCTGCAGATACGATTACTCTATATCAGAAAGCATCTGGAAACCTGACTCGGGGCTCCTTCACTTCTGTGGTTAGCCACAAAGCAGCAGATTGGCCAGCGGGCAGGAAACTGAGGGAAATGTGAATTTGTTTAGTCTGAGAAGGTCTTAAAAGAGGAGTCCCCATTTCATATTCCTGAATTTCACAGGTGAATGCCTCTGACTCACAAATCAAAGGCAAAGCAGAGGCCTCTCAGCTTCTGATGGGAGTTCTCACAGGCCCTTGTTGGTTTGGAGAGAGTGAAGTGGCTTCCCTGGATTGTTGGTCACTGGAGGAGCTGGTGGGATGTGGGACTGCCTGAAAAGGGAGTGTGGCTGAATGCCCTCTCCTGAAGCATCCTCTTGGGGCTGTACAAGGCATAGGGGATCACTGGTCTGCCTATGAGAGCCCTCTGTTCTGCAAGGCGCTTGGGGTTCTGGACATCATTCTGTGTTAGCACAGCAAAATGGGAATGAGAACAGAGATGAAGCTTTCCCCACTGGTAACAGGAAGGACAGTCCATTCTCTAGAGGGATATGCCTTCTTTCCCTTCTGGTATGGCCATATTGCTTCTCAGGAAAGGCTACCATTGAGCAGGGAGAGCAGCACTGAGGTGTGGTGGGCACTTAGCTGATGAACATCTTGTGGTAGTTTTTGGATTTTGGGATGCTGTGGTATTTGTTGACATTTTAAACTTTACCATTTGTTACAATAGCTTATCCTAGTTTTTGTTTTTATTTTTGTGGTACTAGGGATTAAATCCAGTTCATTGTACACTCTAAGTAAGCACAGTAGCACTTGAGCCATGCTCCAGTGCTTTCATATTTACTTTGGTTTGTTTGTGGTACTGGGGTTTGAACTCAGAGCCTACAACTTGAGCCTGGCTTTAGTTTGTTGTTGAGGCAGGATCTCGCCAATTTTTCCAGGGTTGGCTCCAAACCCGTGGTCCTCCACCCTACACCTTCTGAATAGCTGGACTATAGGCATTCGTCACCTTGCCTGGCTTAATATCTATCTTTGTACCTCGTTTTGTATTCATTATTTTATGTATGTGATGTTTTTTATAATGCCAAAATCATACAAGCTTTAGGCCCAAGGGCCCCTGGCTCTGCCCAGAGTTGTCTTTTGTATATAATAGCTCTCCATGAAAAACCTGTACACATCATCTGAGGACAAGCTTCCCAAGCCCAGTGTTTGGGCTAGCTGAGCCAGAAGTGGGGGAAGGAGTGAGGTTTCATTTGGAGGCATAACTCCCTTCCTTCCCATCCTTCCCTTCCTTCCCTTCTTCCTTCCTTCCTTCCTTCCTCTCTCCTGCCTTCCCTCCCTCCCTCCTTTCCTCCTGTTCCTCCCCTCCTTTCCCCTCTCTTGTCTTCCCTTTCCCTTCCTTTCCTTCCCTTTCCCTTCCCTTCCTTTCCTTTTTCCTGACTAGGGCTTCACATGTGCTAGGCAAGTGCTCTACCACTACCACTGAACTATATTCCTAGCCCTTTAAATTATTTTATTTTGAGATGGTCTTGCTAGGTTGCCTAGGCTGGCTTTCAACTTGTGATCCTCCTGCCTCCGTCTCCTGAGCAGGTGAGGTTGCAGGCATGTGCAACCATGCATGTCTTGGAGACATGATTTCAAGAGACAGCTGTATAACCAAGTCCTAACAGCAACCTGGTCCTGGCTCTTGGAGAGCTGATGTCATGGGGAGACCTGATGCTGGATACAGCCTTAAGGCTCTGTGGTGAAAACAGGACCTGGAAGTGGCTCATTGCATTCAGGGAAGCTGTGAGCATCACTAGAAGATGGGAAGTCCCACGAAGTAGCTGCTGCCCTGAGTGCCTATCCAGGACCCTCAGGTCTCATCTCCAGGTCCAGAGGCAGGGCTGTTTTACTTTTATTTCTTACTGAAATTAGGAATAGTAAATCAGGGTACACCTTATTCTTGATCTACCAAGAATATTTCCATAGAAGGAAATTATTTGATAATTGCAGTCTAGCCTTGCACCCCAAAACTTTGTGTTTTGCATCTTTATGGTGAAAATGGACCTAAAACATGTACTTTTCTCCTTAAGCAGAACCTACTCTTCCAGCACATTTCCTGTTCCAGGAATGGTACCTTTCATCCTTTTCTTGGGCTGTCTGGATATCTTCAGGTAGAAGTCCTACCTGGCCGGCTGATAGGACTCCTCAAGTTTGAGTTGTTCAAGGAGGGCTTGGCAGAAGTGGTCAGGGTGAAAGGCCACCACAGGAATAGCACAGTGCCCAGCTCCCAGGGCTTTCCACTTAGGCCTTCAGGTGTGACCTTGAGGGAGGGCGAGCCCAACGTGACCTTGCCTGCAGAAAGTCAGGGTATAGGTGTTCTAATCTCACCCTGCCTCCTTCCTCCCACTCCTTGTAGGCTCCCTTATGGCCTAACCCATGCAGAAGGCCAGATTCTCAATAGAGTGAACTGGTCATGCAGCAAACCTTTCCCCCCCCCCACCATCCTGCTTACCAGCTCACCAGCCCACACGAAAACCCCAGTCCTCTTCTGTGCCTTAGATCCCCACCCCCGCCCCCAGTTTAGTTTACCTTTTGCATCATCTAAGATACAGATCTTTAAAAAAACTGTGTCATAATTTACACACCATAAAATCCACCCTACTGATATTTTAAGAGATTTAGTATCACATAGCCATCCTGCCCCTGAATCTTCAGTAGCTCATTGGCTCCAAAATAAAAGATTTCCTAGTCTTCATTCATTCCCTTGTTGTCACTGAAAACTGAAGACCCATATGGCTCTGTACACCCTTTATATATAATCATTGACTGTCATGAGTTCTACAAAGGAAAGGTCAAGGGGCTGTGAGGACTAGGTTTTCCATCTTGGAATGACCTAGTTGCCTGTCCAGGGATGACGGCAAACTTGACCCAGTCACCTCTCTGGTGAATTTTCAGACACCAGTGACACACAGAAGACCCTAGAAGCCTCCAGAGAGAACAGTTTCTACACAGACTAAGAATCAAAAAGCCTCAAGTATCTTAACATCAAAACAATCTGGCAAGCAACAAAGCCTTCTCAGTCTGAAAGAATAAGGTCTGATCAGCCTGGGATTTGAAACAGCTGAACAGGTCTGGGGATACAGTTCAGTGTTAGAGCACTTGCCTAACGTACAAGGCCCCAGGTTCAAGCCCCAGCAACACATGCACAAGCACGCACGAGGTTGGAATATAGCCAAACAGCTAAGAACAAAGAAAAGAATTTTCCTGATGATACCTGTCCCGATTGCAGGGCCAGCCTCAAATGGAGAACTAAGAGGAAGATACCAGATGGTAGATGGCGATCCCACCTGACTTCAGCAGAGGTCTTGCCACACCTGTCAGGTTCCCTTCTTTGGTGTGGCCTTGCAGAAAACCAGTAAGAGGAGGTAGAAATGGTGATGTTTGGCTTTTGGGACAGGTCAGAAAAGCCTTTGTGCCTGCTGGTTCTGGAACCCCGGCTCTCAAGTTGCTTGCTCTGGGAACCTGGTCTCCATGCTTGGGGATGCCCACACCACAGCAGGAGGCCCCATTGTTATGGCAAAACTTTTTTCAGAAGATCTTGGTCCTTGTGTTCAAAATGGAAGAATCCAAGCAGAACATGTGGATGGAGTGAGGTAGAATAGCTTTATTGAGGGAAGAGGAGTCACCCGTTCTGCCAGGTGAGGGAAGGGAAGAAGGGCTGGGGTCTCTTGGTAAGTTGTTTTTATACCACCTTGAATTTGGAGAGGGGGACAATATCTTCACCAGGCCCCTCTCACCTGTAGGCTAGAGGGAGGAGCTCTTGAGCCCAGAGGGGGAGCAGTCCCAGACTATCCCTAAGAGCCTGCCTCAACATGAGTGTGTCCTGCTCGACAATGACCATTGAGCCCAGGTTCCAGTCATACTGCTGTGTGCCAGACGCAATAATTAAAAACCTCCCCTCTCCTCTCTCCTCCACTTCCCTCTCTCCCTTTCTTTTTTTTTTCAGTACTGCGGATTGAACTCGGGGCCTCTCCTTGCTAGACAAGTGCTCTACCAGTCCTTTTGCTTTTAGTTTGCTTTTGCCTGGGTCAGCCTTGGACTCCAAACCTTTGTCACCCAAGTAGCTGGGATTACAGGAGTGCACCCACACACTGGCCAGAAAGACTCACTTTCAAATCTGCCACCACTTCCTAGTGCTGGGACACTGGACGTGCTATTTGGTCTCTGTGCTTCAGTTTTCTCCCTGGGAAGGTGGGACCCCTCACAGAATGGTTGTGAGGCTTAGCTGACATTTCACAGTGAAAGCTTATCAATGGTATCACTAGTCCCAGGGCTGTTTCTAGGCTCTTTATTCTCATGTAAGGGAAACAGCCAACCCAGCGTGAGGGAGGGGCTTCCTGCTCTTGGAGGGAAAAGTGGGGCAGCCCCTCTGTCCTGCTCCTGAAATCCACTTTAGATTACTTCAGCCCCTGTGAGCGCTCTTGTGTGCACATGGCACCTCTGTTGAAGCTCCCTTCTCAGGGTGGTCTGTGATCAGGAACCCCACCCTGGGTGGGGCGGTTTGCTGTTATCACAGCCCTCAGAGCAGCGCGCATCTGGGATGGGCCAGCCCCACTTCATTAATAGTGCCACTGGGGGCTGGGTAGGACACTCAGGAGACCGACCCCCCGCCCCGTCTGGATGGAGGGTGAGAACATAGGCCTGTGACCTGCCTCCAAAGAATGCCAAGGTCTCTGGACTGAGTTCCGAGTTCCCAGAGTAGGAAGGGGTCCTGACCCAGGTCTTCCCTGGAGGACCACTGGCTTCCATCTGTGCGGGGAGCTCAGGCCAGATGGGGCCAGATGTCCTGGGGCTGTACAGGCTTGCGGTGTGGACAAGGGGTGGTGTCACCGTGTTCTGTTCCCCTGGCTTTCTAGAGCCCCCAGGACCAGGGCTGGGGTCCTAGACTCCCGGGTGAGCCCGGCTGTGGTGGGAGAACTGGAATGGGCGGGGTAGGGAAGGGCAAGGCACCGCCCCAGCCCTGTCCCCGCGGGCGATAGTGCCCCCGCCCGAGGGAGCGCGCGCCGCGAATGCGCGCCGAGTGGCCGCTAGGAGCCTGCAGGCCGCGCCCCTGCGTCCAGTCCCTGCAGCGGCCGCGCTGCGTCCCCTGTCCCCGTCCCTAGTGCGGCGCCCGCGGTCCCCATGGAGCAGCTGTTGCGCACCGAGCTGCGCACGGTGACCCTGCGGGCCTTCGGGAGCCCCGGGGCCGGCTGCATCAGCGAGGGCCGCTCCTATGACACGGATGCGGGCCCGGTGTTCGTCAAGGTCAACCGCAGGACGCAGGTGCGCAGCCGCTTGAGTGGGGTCTGCGGTGGGATTAGGCTGGGGGAAGGGTAGGGAAAGGGACAGTTCTCTGGGCTGGGCCTGGTGTGCTGCCCGATGCCCACAGGGTCAGCCTGTGGCCGGGGGCCAACACCTGCAGGATGAGACTGCCAGCTGTCTTGGGGCTGGTATTTTTGTTTTTCGCGTAGCCAATCAGTTTTCTTCCTTTGCCTACATGCACGGGCTTTTTGGCTGTTTTAACTCTTTGACCCATTTCGCGTGGGGGAGGCTAGGCCTAGAGCCCTGTTCCTCTCAGGCCTGCGTCCTCCCAAGCGGGTGGAGGAGACAGGGCTCCCAGGGCTACGCTAGCACTGGAGTCCCCCTTACCATGCTGTGTTTTTCCTGATATGTATGACCTGCTTAAAATATTCCTGTTTAAGAATGTATGGAAAACCGTAACACAAATAAGAAAGACAGCCACAGGCCCTGAGAGCAGGCAGGCTGCTTTTGGCAGAGCCTGGGCATGACTCCACCCTAGGTAGGCTCTGCAGCACCTGAGGTGCCGTACTCTGTGGGCAGCCAGGGCCTTTCCAAGTGGGAATGGAGCCAGGATGGGGGCTGCTGTTGCCCTGAATTTTCTGCACTGTTGGCATCAGACATCCTCAAGGAATCTGGTTTTGGTAGCAGAATCCCTCAAAGTAATGTCCCACCCTATCTTTCCCCCTGAAACTCAGTGCCTGCACACAGTTGGTTCTTAGACAATGCAGGAGAGCAGGTGGATGTGAGCAGTCTGAATCCTGGGTGTTTTCCCTGGGAGCATAGCTGGAGCCTGAGGACTGCCAGCCCCAGGATACTCCACACCCCGCCTCACAATTCCAGGTGCAAGCTGGCAATTTGAGGATACCTGCCTGGCTTTCTCCTCAGGTACTTTGAATTAAAGGGTTGTGGAATTCAGCCAGGTGTGGTGCCTATAATCCTAGCTACTCAGGAAGCAGAGATCAGGAGGATTGAGTTCCAGGCCAATCTGAGCTAAACGTTTGTGAGACTCCATTGCAACCAAAGACTGAGCGAGGTGGCATGTGCAATGGCATCACAGCTACTGGGGAAGGCAGTTTAGGGTGGCCCCGGCATAAAGTGAATCTCAAATAAATAACCAATGCAAAAAGGGCTGGTGGAGTGGCTCAAGTGATAGTGTGCCTGCCTACCAAGTTTGAGACCCTGAGCTCAACATCTAGTACCACCACCAAAAAAAAAGGAATTCTTTTGCTGTGTGATAATAGGTGCTTTGGTCTCATTTAGAAGTTTATTTTATTTTTTGTGGTGTTGGGATTTGAACCCAGGGCCTTGTACATGCTAATCAAGTACTTTACACTGAGCTACACTCTCAACCCAGGAGTTTAATCTTTTTAAACACACAATTCTATAGGCAAAAGTATTCATGAACCACATTAATAAACCCAAGGGCTTTACATCAGTGGTAGAGTGCTTGCTTGGCACGCACAAGGCTCTGGGTTCTGTATCCACTGCAAAAAAATATTCATGTTTTTCACCAAGGTATAGCTAACATCAGGGAAGGGAGTAATTTAACTCTGGGATGTTTGTGGGGATGTTCTAGAAACAAGAAGGTCCAGGATGAGCTGGGCGTGTGGCTCCTTCCTGGATTCCCAGTTCCTGTTGGACTTGAGCCAGGCCCGTGACCTCCCAGCCCCACCTTTCCTGACCCAAATGTGTCCAGGTCACTTCCACCATGCCTTGGCCAGGCTGCTTTGCTGTGGCTGCCCCAACTCAGAGATGGTGAGGAGAGCAGGTGCCCTGGAGTTCCCAGCCAGCCCTACCCTGCCCCTGCCCCAGAGCCCTGGCTAACTCATACCAACCCTGTATCCCATACTACCCATTACCTCCTCACGGCCTATGCCTCCTCACCTCTACTGCAAGGGCTTACTGTAGGGCCACAGCACTCAGTCTATCAACCCCCAGACTCCTCAAACACCAGGCTCAGCCTCAACCTTGCAACCTTCCTATCTGAAGGACAGGCCTCCTTGCACCCCTCTGAGGGGTGGTATCTTGCTGGTTTTCAGTAACTGTAGGCCCTAGACTTGTGATTCTCACATGGTAGCTTCTATCAGGAACCTCGAGTACCTTGGCTTGACTGGCAGGGCCCCTGTTGGAGTCAGACTTGCAGAGCTAAGGAAGCTCATGGCGGTGTTTGGATGCAGGCCCGGCAGATGTTTGAGGGGGAGATGGCCAGCCTAGAGGCCCTCCGCAGCACAGGCCTGGTGAGGGCACCTCAGCCCATGAAGGTGATTGACCTACCAGGAGGGGGAGCCGCCTTTGTGATGGAGCATTTGAAGATGAAGAGCTTGAGCAGGTGAGTGTATGTGTGAGAGAGGACACATATATGAACACAGAGAAAAAGAGACAGAGAGATACATGGAGACAGACAGGGAAAGAGACACAGAGAGAGGCACATATATGTGTACACAGAGAGACAGAGACAGACAGATGGAGGGAGAGAGAGACACACATGCATAGACAAGAGAATACACAGAGACAGGTAAGGACAGAGAGAAACACAGAATGAGTGATACATAGAGAAAGAGAGACATGTACACAGAGACAGGAGTAGAGAGAGAGAGAGAGAGATACATTTTCTCTTTTTTTTATATAACAAATGTGTATGACTTTAATAATTAGAAAAGAAACTTAAGACTCCAGATAATAGATCAGCCTTGTTCAGCCCAAATTGAGCTGGTATTAGTGCGCTATGTAGTACAAAGCAAGGGATGGATCAAACCCACTGTCATAGCCAAACTAACCCAAAAAACCAGTCATACACCAGAAAGCAATAGTCTTCATTAAGAATGGACTCTGGTAACTGGGCTGGGTTATTCAGGCAGCTCAGCAGGGGCTGTTCCCTGGGTACAACTTTGTTGTATAAAATGTGAGTAAAAGAAGCATAGAGGACTGGCGGAGTGGCTTAGGTGGTAGTGAGCCTAACTAGCAAGTGCAAAGTCCATAGTTCAAACCCCAGTATTGCAAAAAAACAAATGAACAGACAGATCACTGAAAAAACAAAGCAAAAAAAGGAGGCATTGAGCCATTGAAAATTCCATCAACAAGGAGTGGCCACAACTTGTATCTGATTGTCCTCTCAGTGTTTTGTCCCATATGTGGTTGACATTTGTTTCTGTAGAAGATGTGTTTTTACTCACTCTTCCAGGCTTTGTGCCCAGTACCCAGTGCCTGCTGGGATGGTTGCAGGACTTCTCACGTCTCTTTCTGGAGATCTTAGGCTACTTTTTTTTTTTTAAAGTATCATTCATTACCTGGCATTCACTTTTTACTTTTAGTGAATGGAGAGTAGTTCTTAAAGTATTTAAAACATTTATCAAAATGGAACACTCTGGGTAGTGTTATTTGTTTGCTATTTTAATTGGCTGCATTTCTTCTTTCCTCAGCCAGGCATCAACACTTGGGGACCAGATGGCAGATTTGCACCTTTACAACCAGAAGCTCAAGGAGAAGCTGAAGGAGGGGGAGAACACAGTGGGTGTGTGCAGATTGCTCTTGGTACCCTGGACTGAGTCGCACCAGCTACTCTAGATCAGTGCCCATGGTACTTCTTGTGGCATTTCAATAACAGGCTGAATTGCATGCATCTCTTTTACAATGCGTTATGAAAATGAGATTATTAAATAAGAATTCTGATGGAGCTGGGTGCTGGTGGCTTATGGCTGTAATCCTTGCTACTCAGGAGGCAGAGAGTAGGAGGACTGTGGTTCAAAGCCAGCCCAGGCAAATAGTTTGTGAGACCCCATCTTAAAAAACCCCATCACAAAAAAGGGCTGGTGGAGTGGATCAAGATGTAGGCCCTGAGTTTAAGCCCCAGTTCTGAAAAAAAAAAAAGTCTGATGGAGCTGATAAAGCAGTAGCACTGTTTGATAACCTCTTTCATGCCCAGCCCTGATGTCTGAGCTGGTTTCATGAGAAGATCAGTAATATTGATAAACTTTTAGTCAGACTGATCAGGGCTAAGAGGGAACAGAAATTATCAAAGTCAAGAATGAAAGAAGGTCAGGTGCCATGGCTCACACCTGCAATCCTAGCTACTCAGGAGGCAGAGATCAGGTGGATTTTGGTTCAAGGCCAGCCTGGGCAAATAGTTCACAAGACCCTATCTCAAAAAACCCTTCATAAAAAAGGGCTGGTGGAGTGGCTCAAGGTGAAGGCCCTGAGTTCAAACTCTAGACCACAAATAAATAAATTTTTAAAAATTAAAAAGTGATATGGCAAGTACCATAAGAAAAAAAAGTGAGGAATGCAACCTGGAGTAAAGAAGGTTTTAGGGAAGGGTGAGCAGCAACCTGAGGCCGGGTTCTCTGTTCACAGGTCGCAGGGCTGAGGGTGTTGAGCCCCAGTGTGTGACCAAGTTTGGCTTCCACACGGTGACGTACTGTGGCTTCATTTCACAGGTGAGTTCTGCGTGAGGACGTCCCTGCTTAGCCCTTGACCATCCCCTAAACCCCCCATGCTTTGGCTGGTGACCACTCTGACACCTGGCGATGGTCACCTGACCCCTTGTATGTGACAGAGTGCCAGTCTCCCAGGCACCAGCAAGATAGACCACCTGATGTCTAAAGGCAGACTGCTGCTCCTGCTCCCTGAGCTGGGCTTGGAGGAGAGGGGAATGGTGCGGCTAGGGGAACAGCCCTCCAGGCAGAGGGAACATCCGTGCAAAGGTCCTGTGCAGGACTGAAGACAGCAGGCGGGGGGAATCATGCAGGGTCAGGGATCTAGCCCAGTCATTCAGCTCCTCTTCCACAGCCTTTAAAAACTGTTGTTGTTTATTGAGATACAATTCATATAACATGAACCCCACCATCTTAAAGTGGCCATTCAGCAGTTTTTAGTGCATCACAGTATAGACCCATCACCACTGTCTCATCCTAGAACACTTTCATCACCCAAGAGCAACTCCCAGGGGCAGTCACCCTTCTTTCTCCCTTCCCCAGGCCCTGGCAACCACCAGTCTCCAATCTGCTGTCTGTCCCTATGGATTCTCCTGTTTTGGACATTTCCTATTAGTGGAATCCGGCCACGTGTGTGTGACCTTTTGTATCTGGCTTCTTTCACTTCGTACAAGTTATAGCGTGTGTCGGAATTTCATTTGTTTCTATGGTTTAATGATGTTCCATTCTTTAGTTAGACCACATTTTGTTCGCTGTTCTTCTTTTATGGCTGAATAACACTGGGGCCTCTTGAATCACCATTGTAGAAACCTAGGAAGAGATCTCTCAAGAAGGCTTATTCTTTGGATAGCCCACCTGTCTGACACTTGCCATGGAGAAGCTATTTTTGACCATATTTTACATCATTAAGGACAGAGTACCCAACATATGAGAGCTGATCTAGTTGAAACCTGTTTCTTCTTCTTCTTTTTTTGGCAGTACTGGGGTTTGAACTCAGGGCCTTGGATTCTCTAAGCAGGCACTATACCGCTTGAGCCACTCCACCAGCCCTACCCATTGTTTTTTGAAGGGGCAATACTTTCAAATCTTCCCCTCTGTGAAACCTGTCCTGGCTAGGCAACAAACAAACAATCAAGTATTTTTTTCATGTTAATTTCTAGCAAAAAAAAAAAAAAGCATGCTGATGTTTTACTGGGATTACACTGAATCTATACAGCAGTTTTGGGAGAAGTGACACCTTAATAATAATGAGACTTTTCACATATGAGTGAGTTATATCTCTACATTTACTTAGGTTGTTTCTAGTTTCTCTTAGCAGTGTTTTGAAGTTTTCATGAACAAGTGTTTTTTTTCACATCTATTGTCAGGTTTATTTATAACTATTTCATAGTTTGTGATGCTATTAAAATGACTTTTTAAAATTAAAATTGCTGGGCGCTGGTGGCTCTTGTCTGTAATCCTAACTACTCAGGAGGCAGAGATCAGGAGGATTTCAGTTCAAGGCTAGTCTGGGCATAGTTTGCGGGACCCTATCTCAAAAAAACCCTTTGCAAAAAAAAGCTGGTGGAGTGGCTCAAGGTGTTGGCCCTGAGTTCATACCCCAGTACTGCAAAAAAAAAAAAAAAAATAAATAAAATTATCAGGTTTTTTTGTTTGTTTGTTTTTTGTTTTTTTGGTGGCTAGTATATAGAACACAATTACTTTAGGGCTTAAGTGGTAGAATGCTTGCTGAAAAAGGTCCTGAGTTCAAATTCCAGTACCACTAAAAAAAAAAAGATGTAAAACACGATTACTTTAAAAATTTATTTTTGCAGTGGTGGGGACCAAACTCAGGGCCTTGAGCATGTTAGGCAGGCACTCTATCACTAAGCTACGTTCCCAGCCATTAAAAAATGCAGATTTTTGTGTATTTATCCCATATTCTGGAATCTTGCTAAATCTAATTATGGTGGCTTGTTTTTGAGACCCACTCTTTTTTTTTATTTTTTGGTTGTGGTACTGAGGATTGAACCCAGGATCTCCTTCTGGTAGGGAAGTGCTCCACCGCTAAGCTATATTCCCATCCTAGCTTTTTTATACAGTTCCATCACATTTTCTGCGTAGATGATCATGATTATTGTGAGTAAAGATAGCTTACTTCCTTTCAATTCGTATTCTTTTTTTACCTCTCCCTTGCCATATCACTTTTTAATTTTTAAAAATTTATTTATTTGTGGTCTAGAGTTTGAACTCAGGGCCTTCACCTTGAGCCACTCCACCAGCCCTTTTTTTATGAAGGGTTTTTTGAGATAGGGTCTTGTGAACTATTTGCCCAGGCTGGCCTTGAACCAAAATCCACCTGATCTCTGCCTCCTGAGTAGCTAGGATTACAGGTGTGAGCCATGGCACCTGACCTTCTTTCATTCTTGACTTTGATAATTTCTGTTCCCTCTTAGCCCTGATCAGTCTGACTAAAATTTTATCAATATTACTGATCTTCTCATGAAACCAGCTCTTTGTAGATTGATTTTCTCTACTTCATTTATATCTGGTAAGATCTTTATAACTTCATGTTTTTCTGCTTTTCTGTTTTTAGTCATTTAAGGTAGAAGCTGAGGCCATCAATTTGAGACCTCCTTTTCTAATGTAGGCATTTTGTGCTATGCACTTTCCCCTAAGTACTGCTTTAGTACCGTCCTTCAAATTAGAAGTTATGTTTTTTTCACTTAGTTCAAAATTCTTTCTAATGTCCTTTAGATTTCTTCCCTAACCATAGATTTTAGAAGTGTGTTATTTGGGCTGGGCACTGGTGGCTCATGCCTGTAATCCTAGCTACTCAGGAGGATCATGGTTCAAAGCCAACCCCAGGCATAGTTCACAAGCCCCTATGTTGGAAAAACCCAACGCAAAACAGGGCTGGCGGAGTGACTCACATGGTAGATAGAGCACTTGCCTAGCAAGTATGATTTGCTCTGAGTTCAAACTGAAGTACTGCCAAAGAAAAAGTGCATCATTAATTAGTTTTCAAACACTTGGGATTTCCCATGGATTTTTTTTTTTTTTGCCTTGCTAGGGGTCAAACCTAGGGCCTTGCACATGCTAGGCAAGTGCGGTACCACCAGAATCATTTCTATTTATTGACTTCTAACTTAATTCCACTGTGGTCAGATAATACACTCTGAGTGACTGGAATTCCTTTTCATTTATTGAGGTTTGTTTTAAGGCCCAGCTTATGACCTATCTTGGTAAATGACCCATGTGTGTTTGCAGAAGTGCATATAAGGCTGTTGTTGGTGTAGTGTTCTGTAAATGTCACTCCTTCATAGTTAGATGACTGTGTTGCTTAAATATTTTCTGCCTACCTGCTCTGCTTACTACTGAGAGAGGGCTTAAAAGCTCTGGCTATGTCCTAGTCTGCTAGGGATGCCATACAAAATACTACAGGCTGTGACTTAAACAACAGACATTTGTTTTTCACTGTTCTGCAGCAGGAGCCCAAGATAAAGGTGCAGGTTCATTTGTTTTCCGGTAAGGGCCTGCTTCCTGGCTGGCAAGATGGTGACTTCTTGCCATGTCCTTACATGTTTCTCCTCAGTGTGTGTGCATGGACAGAGGAGTAATCCCTCTCTATTCCTTATAGGGCCTCTAATTCTCCCAGAGTAGGACCTCACCCTTCTGATCTCATTTAATCCTAACTACCTCCTAAGAGCCCTACATCCAAATACAGTTACCTTGGGGGCTTCGGCAGATAAATCTTGGGAGGAAACCACGGTTCAGTCCTTGAACTTGAACTCCTCTAGACTGTGATTGTGGAGTCATCAACTTTTCTTTGCAGTTCTATCAGTTTCATTTCTATGTATTTTGAAGCTCTGTTTTCAGAGAATCAACATTTAGGATTACTATGTCTACTTCATTGTTTACCATCTTTTCATTATGAAATGACTTTCTATTTATTTGTTTATTTTTTGGGTTTTTTTTTTTTTGTGGCACTGCTGTTTGAACTCAGGGCTTCATGCTTGCTAGGTAGGTACCCTTACCCTCTTGAGCCACTCCACCAGCTCTTTTTTTGTGATGGGTTTTTTCAAGATAGGGTCTCACAAACTATTTGCCCAGGGCTGGCTTTAAACTGCACCCTCCTGATCTCTGCCTCCTGAGTAGCTAGATTATAGGTGTGAGCCATCAGCACCCAGCTAGGATTAGGGTTTTTGAACTCAGGGCTTCGTGCTTGCAAAGCAGGCATTCTACCACTTGAGCCACACCTCCAGTCAATTTTGCTTTGATTATTTTTGGAGATGGGGGTCTCCCAAACTATTTCCCCAGACTGGCCTTGGACCATGATCCTCCTCATCTCTGCCTCCTAAGTAGCTAGGATTACAGACATGAGCTACCATTACCTGGCATGAAATGACTTTCTTTATACTTGGTGATATTCTTTGCTCTGAAGTCTGCTTTGTCTGGTATTAATATAACTCTCCAGGTGTCTGTTGTGTGTGTGTGGTACTGGGGTTTGAACTCAGGGCCTCTTGCTTAGTATTCAGGTACTCTAACACTTGAGCCATCAGCCAGCTCTTTTTGCATTGTTTCTTTTTGAAATAGGATCATCAGGCCTGGACTCCTATTTGTGCTTCCCATCTCACCCCGGCCATTGGTTGAAATGGGGTCTTGTGAACTTTTTGCCTGAGCTGGCCTTTAACTTTGATCTTCCCATCCTCTGTCTCCCAAGTAGCTAGGGTTACAGGCTTAAGCCACCATTCCTGGCTTCTGCATTAGTTATTTTTCAGGTAGGGTCTTGCCGCCCGGGGTTGGCCTCAGACCGTGATCCTTCTCCTATGGCCTCTGGGTAGTTGAGATCATAGGTATCTCCCACTACACCTGGCCTGCCCTTTTTTTTTTTTTTCGACATAGAGTCTTGTTGTGTTGCCCAGGCTGGTCTGGAACTTGCAATCCTCCTTCCTTAGCCTTCCAAGTGCTGGAATTACAGACAGGCATGCACCACCACACCCTGGCTCTATTTCTGGTTTTGTGTTGGTTCTTACTTTATTAGTCCAATTTTTTGATCTCTATCATTTAACTATTTATTTATTTTTATAGGGTTTCAAAATTTATTATTTTGGTGGTAGTGGAGTTTAACTCAGGGCCTCATACTTGCTAGTTAGGTGCTCTACTACTTGAACCTCTCCACCAGCCAAGTGTATTTATTTTGGACTATTTCCACTTATGTGTTTATTTATGTGTTTGTGTTGGAGTACATCACCTCACTATGTTTATTTGTTTCCCTTTCCCTGCTTTCTTTTGTATGAACTGTTTTGATTCCATTTAACCTCCTAATTTGACTCACTAGCTATGGAACTTGATATGTTCCTTTAGTAGTTGCTCTAGGATTAAGGAAGATCCCATGTATAACTACCCTGTGGCTCAGCTGTAGCACTTGTCTCTTCTCTTTTTGCTCAGGTAAATGAATGGCAGGATGACTGGCCAACCTTTTTCACCCGGCACCGGCTCCAAGCACAGTTGGACCTCATTGAGAAGGACTATGCTGACCGAGAGGCACGAGAACTCTGGTCAAGGCTCCAGGTGGGCACAGCAGTTACTTTTCTGGGAGAGAGGCTGTCCTCTCAGGAGCCTGTCCACTGGAGAACAGCCAGAGTTGGGGATCACTGGCACTGGAACACAGCTGGTTAAATCGCAGGCACATTAGTGACATTTTTGACTCCAGAGTGCACTTCTCCTGCTTTAGGTCTCCAGGAATTGAACCTGAGACTTTTCTCTTGTGGAGCAGGTACCTGGCTCATGAGTGTTGGTCTTCACTTGTGTCATTATTAGTACCCTCATCCCCCTTCCACATATGCTTCATTCACCCTTAATGAAGATGTGGGTTCCAGCATGACTGGTTTCAAAACATAACTCTCAAGGGCTAGAAACACAATTCACTTATCAATCCAGGGTAAGCATGTATCAAAGAAATTTCATTTAACCACAAAAGAGAAGCAGATACATAAGGGCAGTGAAAAAAATGGAGAGTTTGCTAACTTAGATATAAAACTGGTTCATATTCTGCAGAACAATCAAAGGAACCTGTGAGGTTCTCTACTGTGTGAAAATCATCAGTTCTGCAAGTCTTGGACACAAGTTAATTGTCAAGGGCGAGCTAGATAAAGTTCAGTTCCCTCGAAGTCAATGGTCCTCATGTCTGGGCTTGGCAGACTGTTTGGCTGGATCCTGAATGAATAGGCAGATCTTTGATAACTATATGCAGTAATTGCTTTCCTAGGTGAAGATCCCGGATCTATTTTGTGGCCTAGAGATTGTACCTGCCCTGCTCCACGGGGATCTGTGGTCCGGAAATATGGCTGAGGATGACTCGGGGCCCGTTATTTATGACCCGGCTTCCTTCTATGGCCATTCTGAGTTTGAACTGGCAATCTCCATGATGTTTGGGGGGTTCCCCAGATCCTTCTTCACTGCCTACCACCGGAAGATTCCCAAGGCTCCGGGCTTTGAGAAGCGGCTGCTGCTGTACCAGCTCTTTAACTACCTGAACCACTGGAACCACTTTGGGCGGGAATACAGGAGCCCGTCCCTGGGTACCATGAGGAAGCTGCTCAGGTAGCAGATGCCAGACCTCTCCCCAGCACCCCACAAGGCTCTGGCCTAATAAAACCAACGCGAGTTCCAGGGTTGCAACCGTTGTGTGCTGGTTTCACCTCCGTCCGCCTCTGGGCTAATTTTCTAGGAGCCGGGCCACACGAGTCCCCTCCAAAAGGATCACCGCATGGCTATGATAATCCGGGCAGTGCGGATAGGTTTATGGGAGCTGTGCAAAGTCACGGGCTGGGTTTTGCTCAGGCTAATGTTGGCGCCGCGGACCGGTCTGCGGCTCGGGACAGGCAGAGCTGGGACCGCAAGGTGGTTCCCACTTCTGCGGCGGCAGTGTCACTCAGCCAGGGCTCGGTCTGGATCGCCCATTCTAGGGGGCTTGTTCCCGGGTGAACGCAGGCCAAGCGAGTGGTAGCCCGGCTACCAGGCTGTCTGGTGGCCAAAGCGGTTGGGATGTCAGGTCTGTCATCGCTTAAAGTTTGCCGCCTGGATCTTCCCCCTTCCCTCTCCTTCTTCCTCCTTCCCTTGTTCCCCCCTCCCCTTCCTCTCTCCCACCCCCTATCACACGCGATCCCCGGCCCCGCCCAGCCCACTCTTCCACAAACTCAAACCTCAGCCGCGATCAGGCCCCGCGCATTGGTGCCCACCCCCGCGCCTCGGAAATTCCCTCCCAGGCACTCAGGCCATTGCCCCACACACGCAGACCGGTCTCCTGCTCCAGCCACAAACTCAGATCCCGCCTCGGATCAGGCCCCGCCCCCAGCCCCGCCCACAGGCCAGACCCGCCCCCGAGCAGGCCCCGCCCACAGGTGCAGCCCCCTCTCATGCGCTTAGGTTCCGCCCGGGCTCCTCTGATCCGGGTTGGTCAGCGAAGGGCGGAGGCTCCGCCCTCCCTCGCGGGAGGTCCATTTGCACATGCGCCCTCCTCACGCTGCGCCGCCCTCTCGCGCGCTCTTTTGGCGGCCGCCGCGCTCCGTAGCCGGGTCGGAGGTCGCAGGGTGGGGCCGGCAGCTGGCGGGTAGCATCTTGTAGCGCTGTGCTGTCCTCCGCCGGGTCCGGGATGTCCCTGACAGACTCGCCTGCCGCGATGGCTCTGAGCGACGTGTCCGCCAACGAGGAGCCTGAGGAGGACGCGCCGGCCTGCGGCGCCGCCCTGGAGGCGTTCGGCGAGGGCGCGGAGATCCGCGAGCTGCTCGGCCGACTGCGGGCGGTGCACGGCGAGCTCGTAGCGCGGGAGGTGGCGGAGCAGCGGTTCCGCGGTGCGGGCGGGTCCGGGGGCGGCCGCGGTGACCCTGACCGGGAGGGCGGGATCGAGCTGCCCCCAGCTGTCGCTGCCGGAGGGCAGCGTGAACTCCCCCCGCCCCGCCCTGTCCCGGGACCAGAACAAAGCAAGGCCCTTTGGGACCGCCGTGCGGACCGGGAGGAAATGACAGCAGGGAACCCTGCCGCCGCGAGCCTGCCGGCAGTGGGCACACGACCAGGCCGTGGCCGGGAGGGCTGCGCCGTGTGCAGCAAGGACCACGGCTGCAGGCAGGGCGGAGAGTGGACGGTGCCAGTGGGTCCCTTGGTCAGTCGTAAATCCTCCACGTTTCGACAGTCTGCGGTGGATGATTTCCAAGCGAGTCCTTAGAGGGTGCATTAAATGAGACCATGTTTTGTGTGGGTCCTTTTAGCTAAAGAAATCTGCATAATGTAATCTTGCCTTGCTTGGTTTGGAATGATGGCACGCATTGGGAACTGATGACTTCAATGGTTCAATTACCGGTGGCCGTCGGGAGAGGCAAGGGTTTGAACCCTGGCTTTGTCACTTGGACTAGTTACTTAATAGCTCTGAGTCTCAGTTTCTTCCATTTAAACTTGGATTCTTGATAACAGTACACCCCGTGTGTTGAGGTTGAGGTGAATACCCAGGGACCAGTAAATGCCTGTTCTCCCATTCCTAGGAGGCAGGCAGTGTGATCACTTGTGGGGGTGTGTGGTAGGTGAGAGCTGCACAGGCAAAAACAGGCCGGATTGGAAAGTTTCACCTGCTGGTAGGGGTAGAATGCGGATGAGGGCAGGTTAAGGAGGTCACCCAGTTATGGATTTGAAAATTTATTGAAGTGGGTGGGGCGGTGGAGAGTAAGTGAAGGAAGGAGTGGGGAGGAGACCCAGTTAGGGAGAAAGGGTTCAGAGGAGGTGGGAAAAGAGGACCTAAGAGCAAGTCAGGAGCAGGACACCCTGCCACAGTGGCCCTCAGGAGGGTGGTGGAGACACTCTCTCCAGGAGGCCCCTGTGGCACTTGTCATTGAGAGGTCAGGTGTGTCCCTGGGAGCTGCAAGGGCTGGGAAGTTGGGGAACTACCCCGTGGAAGTTACCTGTGGACAACAGGTTGTCTGATGCTTACATACATGCCTGGTTTAGTAATAGTTAATTTTCATTTTGTTTCCTTTTAGTAATTATGAACAAATACCAGGAACAGCCTCACCTCTTGGACCCACACCTTGGTAAGCATAGAAGCTGATGACTTAAAAAAAAAGTTATTAGCATATAGTATTTGCACAGGGGATACATTGTGGTATTTACATGTATGCTTATAATATCTTATACTTACCCCCTTCATTGTTCTCCCTCTTCTTCCCTTCTTCTTAGAACAAGTTCAACAGGTTTCATTCTTCTATTTTCATGTATGAATACAAAATACATCCACCATATTCACTCTTATTCACCCTTTGCTTATGGTCACCTACTTCCCACTGGTGCCCACTCCTGGAAAAGACCCCTTTTTCCCTCCTCCTCTTTACTTATTTATTTTTTTAATGTATATTGATAGTCCAAGGGGGTTTCACCTTGGTACTTTAGGTTTGCGCTTATCAAATTAACCCCCTTCCCTAATGTACTCATTCTGTGCCACCATGTTAATATTCAGCAATAAAGCTGATGACATTGATAGTTCAAGTACAGATGACCAGGAAGGCCTTGGCATGGTGCTGGCACCTGTGTGCGTAGCTAGCAGAATGTGTCAAGATGAAGTGTCCTCCATGATTTGTCTTATTTGCTGGTTTATTTATTGCAGGTTTTACAGACCTGTGATAGTAACTTGAGTTCAGATATCACTTGAGGCTGTGTGCAATGTTTTTGAGCCATGACTTTCTTCTTACTGCCATTTAAAGAGTACATCTTTTTCTCCTTAAATGTGTGTTTTAGTTTGTTTTGTCTGGTCTGGGTACAGGTTGTCTTCTAGTAGTGGTTATACTGGGTCACGTGTTTCATGAGGGTCCCCCATTTCACCCATGCAGCAGTTCAGGAAGGTAGCTCCTCTCCATTTAACAGGTGGAGACACCGAGGCTTGGTTTCACTACTTTAGTATAAGGGGAGTGACGTTTTTGTTTGTTTTCCATTCTTTATATTTGAACCAGTTTCATACTGATTAAAAGTTTTTTGAGACAAGGTCTCGCTATGTAGCTCAGGCTGGCCTCAAGCTCACCATCCTCCTTCCTCAGCCTCCCAAGTTCTGGGTTATAGGCATTTGGATTTTTTCTTTTGTTTCTACAAAGTAACACATGCTCTTGACAGTGCACTTGGGGTGGGGGTAGGTAGTAATGGTCACTGGGCTATGAGGACAGGTACATGGAGTCACATCCCAGCTCCAACCGCTCAGGTGCCCAGCTACTCTGTGCCTGGTGTCCCCATTTGTAAGATGGTTGGCAGCACTGCATGACTCATGAGGTATACAGGCCTGCCTGCCCTCTCCTGTAAGTTGGGGGGTAATCCTGCATGCTTCATAGGCTTTGCAGAACTGTGTCCCCACTTGTAAGGCAGGGGGAGGGGCAGCAGGCATGCCTTGCATGTGTGCAGACCTGCGTAAATCCTGAAGTCTCCTTCAGCATGTACATGTGTGTGGTCTGAGGGTCCCTCCTGGCATTTTTGGTGGTCCTGGGGATTGAACTCAGGGCCTTCTTGCTAGGCAGGCTCTCTTCCACTTGAACTGCACCTGTAGTCCTTTTGCTTTGGTTTGCTTGTCAAGGGTCTTAGGCTTATGGTCAGGGCTGGCCTTAGACCTTGCTCCTTCCACGTCTGCCTCCTGAGTAGAGGGCATTACAGGTCTGCCCTACCATGCCTGGCTGCTGCTGAATATCTCTTTGCTTCTAGCGACAGGATGTGTACATGAGCCTTCTGAGCTCACTGTTTCAGGCAAAGTAAACTCATTTTCAGTCTTGGTTGATAGCTCTTCTTCTCCATCTGTACTGACAAATCCAATGACTGTTTCTAGAACCTGAAGTTTCATGAGGATGTGACTTGCTCTAGGCCTTTTTTCTCATGCTGGACATTAGCTGGTCAGTTCTGGGCCGAAGACTTCATCTTTGGCAGGTGGACTCTGCCTTCTTTTTCTGTTGTGCTTGTGAGGTGGATGGAGCATGTCTGGTAGTCATCCCAAGTTGTCCTTAGCTTTTTCTTGTTGCACTGCTTTTTTTGCACATAGAGGATATTCTTGAGTTTGACAACTCTTTACCTTCTAAGAGCTCTGGTCCTTGGCTTGGTATCTCAGAGTCTAGTTCTTAATTGGTTTTCCTGCCTAGGGGTGCATGAGGCTTCTGTTCCTCTTCAGTGGGTACCATGTGACTGCATTAGCTTCCAGCACTAAGTGTTTCAGGTTTAGCTGTCCAGAGAACTCTGTCCCGTCTGTTCTGGATCTGTGCTGTCGAGCATTTATGATACAGCTGGTGGCACCAAGGAACTGAATTTTACATTTGGTTTAAATTTAAAAATGTGGCTAGTGGCTATGGTGTGCACTGCTGCAGAATAGGTGTCTGGTCTTTGACCAGGGTGGGAAGGGCTGAGCATGCACCTTTCTGTGTGCTGCCTTTGACAGTCAGTCCCTGGTCTGGTGCTCTCTTGACCTCAGACTGTGCTTCTGGGCTGCCAATCAGCTTCCTCAGTCTCCCTGCTTCTCCACTTCCACGGCACTGCTGATGCCTCTTGGCTATTGTTTCATTTTGTATTTGCATTTTTATTTATTTATTTTTATTATTGTACTGGGGGTACATCATGACATTTACCAAAGTTCTCACAATATACCATAGTTGAATTCACTTCCTCCATCATTCTTCTTTATCCCCTCATCCCCTCTTTTCCTGGAACAGTTTCAGCAGGTCTCATTTTTCCATTTACATTTTATTCTTGATGGCTGTTTTTCTGTGCTGGCGGGGAACTGAGGCAATCTCATATACTGCCATGAGTGGCCTGCTCTCTGGTTGTTTGTCCTTGCTTAGGTGTTGTGATTGCTTTTGGAGTCTCTCCAAAGCACAGGACTTCTACCTTCTTCTACTCCCTGAGTCCTTTCCTTTGGGATCAGCTTAACTGTGAACTTTGGCTTTTCACGTTTCTGGTTCTCTCCATGTTTAAGACAGTAAGTAATCAGAAGCTCCCCTGCTTACCTTTTGTGAATTGGAGTTTCCAGCCCATCTGTCCTTGAACAGGTTCTGGTGGGCTAGCTCTGTGTGGGGCAGTGTGGCAGGTTGATGGCAGATGCGCTCTGAAATGGAGTGAGTTGCTGCAGAGTTCTTTCACCTGAGGACATTCCCCATACAAGATGTGAGCACCCTGCGTCTGGGCACTCTTCTCTTCCTCCTGGAAGTTCTCACGTGTCCTGAGCATTTGTTCGGTTTTGTCCTGAGGTGAGCTCAGTGCTCCTCCCCGCCATGGGCTGAGCTTGGAGTCCCCCTTGGCTTCTCCTCTTCTCCTCTGGAGCTGCTGACCTGTCTGCCTTTTGGAAGTCCATCAAACCTGTCTCTTCCCATCCTGTGCTGGTCCTGGGTTCTTGGGCAGTCAAGGCAGCTGTGTGTGGACACCTGTGCTCAGTTTTGTCTTCTTGGATTTGGACTTTTGAAATCTTTACCTATATAAACACAAGTTTGTCTGTGGAAGAGAAAGAAAAGCATGACATTTTTTTTTCTCATTTTACTTTGTTGTTTCCTAGTAAAGGTGAACTACGTTTTACGTTTATTCATTTATTAAATTTATTTATTTATTTATTTTGAGATATGGTCTCTCTATGTAGCCCAGACTGGCCTCAAACTTGGGATCCTTCTGCCTCAACCTCTTGAGTGCTAGGATTACAGCCCAGGTCCCACAGCTGGTGAATGTATTCCTGGGATTTAAACTCCCCTGCAGAGCCATTCATGTTTTGCCACGTGGAAGATGGGGTCCTTGGAGGGGCCAGCTGCAGGGAAGTGACTGATGTCTGGTTGAGGGGCTGTCCTAAGCAGAGGGTGGAGGGCAGGGGGTGCCCAGGCCTCATCTCGGAGTGAGTCTTGGGTTCCTGGCAGTCCTCATGGAGCAGATGTGGTTGCTCCTCATGAAGTGAAAGGTGCTGTGTCACCGCTTCAGGTGACAGCTTTGGACCTGCAGTGCTCCCTGGGTTGCTGGAACCTCTCTGTGCTGGAGCACAGAATGGGATGGTCACTGGGCGCTGTCCACAGTGCTGAACTTTTTTTTTTTTTTTTTTTTTGGTCACTCCTCATCTTCTGGGAAATAAAAAGGGAATAATGATGGTGGATGCTGGTCCTTTCTTTATGTCCTAGGTTGTGTGTGTCTGATTTTGCCCTTCAGTGTTATGTGTATTATCTACTGATGGTTGTCAAACTATCTCTCTGCCTTTGTTAGACAGGTGCTCTACCACTTGAGCCACGTCTCCAGCCCAGGGTCTTCCTTCATGTTTGCCTTTGGTACTGTGCTTAGAATTTAATTTTTTTCCAAATTGGTTACATAAGGCTCATTCATGGAATAATCCAGCAGCCCCTCCCATCATTCGAAATACCATCTCAAGTCTGTATTTGGTACTCACATATATAGCCTTGGTTTTTAGATCTTCTCTTCTGTTCCATTAGTCTCCATGTGTGCTTTTGTTTTGTTCTTGTTGGTTGCTTTGTGATATATTTTGTCTTCTATCTGACCATCTTGTTTTCTTGAGTGGTTTTCTGTTTTTGGGATACTGGGGATTGAACTCTGTCCTCTGGATGCTTGTGTAAGGTGGTTGGTAGTGCTGTTTATGTCCTCACTGATCTGTTAGCTTGCTCCTAACTCTGGGAAAATCAAAACCTCTGGTTTCTCTTCTCAGTGCTCTCAGTTTTTGCTTTATTGTGAAGCTCTGTAATTTGTTGTTTGCATGTACAGGATTGTAGAGTCCTCATGATAAATCAGTCCTTTTGTCAGTGTGAAATGTCACTTGTTTTTCTGCCAGTCTGTCTGCAGAATATTCACAAGGTCTCTTCAGCTCTCTCATGCTGGTGAATTACTTGGTGTATATTTTCCTTCCTTGTCTTTATTTTCATGTTTGGTGGTTAGGTTTTCCTGTGACTCTAGCCTGACAGTCCTTGCTTTTTAATTGGAATCTTTAGGCCATTTTCATTTAACATGGTTATCAACATGAGTGGGTTTAATCTACTCTCTTGGGTCTTGTTTTCTACTTTTACCATCTCTTTTTTTGGTTTTGTTTCTTTTTTACTCTACCATTGTCTTTTGTATTAGTTGGACACTTTTTGGTATTTTATCTCCTCTGTGAGCTCATTAGCGATTTATTTTAAGTGATTACTCTAGGATTTATAATATGCACCCTCAACTTATTACAAGGTATCCTGAGATAATAGTGTATCTTTTCATGTGTAATGTGAGAACCTTTCAACTGAATTCTTCCATTTCTTCCTCTTGTTCTTTGTCACACATTTTACTTATGTGTTTGCTATAGTTTTTGCTTTAAACAGTCATTTTTCAAAGAAATTAAAAGTGAGACAAAGTCTGTAATTACCCATGTAGTTACCATTCCCAGTCTGTTTTCTGTACATCACAGCTTTCCCTTTGCTATTCGCTTTCTGCTCCCTTCTCAGTGCCATTTGCTTTCAGTTTGAAGAATTTAATATTTCTTTGAACTCAGTGCCATTTGCTTTCAGTTTGAAGAATTTAATATTTCTTTATTTCTTCTGGTGTAGACTTATTGACAATGAAGTCTTAGATTTCTTTTTTTTTTTGTTAGTACTGGGGTTTGAATTCAGGGCCATAAGCTTGCTAGGCAGGTGCTCTACCGCTTGAGCCACACCTCCAATCCTTTTTCTCTAGGTATTTTTCAAATAGGGTCTCACATTTATGCCCAGGCTCGCCTGGACCATGATCCTCCTACTTATGCTTCCTGTGTAGGTGGAGTGATAGGTGCATGTCACCATATCCACCTTGTTTTTGTTTTGTTGAGATGGGGTCTTTCAAACTTTTCACCTGGACTGGACTTGAGCCTCATTCCTCCCAATCTCCATCTCCTGGGTAGCTAGGATTACAGGTGGGAGCCATCATGTCCAATTTAGTCTCACACTTTTTTTTTGTGGTACTGGGACTTGAACTCAGGGCCTTGTGTTTGCTAGACAGGCACTTTACCACTTGACCCACTCTGCCATCCCTTTTATGTATTGGGTATTTTCGAGAGACGATTTCATGAACTATTTGCCTGGACTTGCTTTGAACTGCCATCCTCCTGATCTCTGCCTCCCAAGTAGTTAGGATTACAGGCATGAGCCACTGGTGCCCAGCTAGGTTCAGCTTTTGATAGTTTTGTGCACCTTTGGTTTTGAAAGATAGAATGTTGGATATAGAATTATAGGTTGACAGTTTTCTCCTTTGGTCCTTTAAAGGATGTTCTCTCCTATCTTCTGGCTTGCACCTTTCCTGACTAGAAGCCTGTGCTTATTCTTACCTTTCTTTACATGTAGTATGTGCTGCCCTGAGCTGGTGCAGGAGACAGAAGATCTCTGAGCCTTTCATAGAGCTGGACTGGTGCTGGAGACATGAGGTCTCTGAGTCCTGCATGATCCCTCTCCCTGCACTTTGTTCTAAACATGGCCTCCCTGAGGACAGGGGATCACTGAGCCCTGTGTGACCCCTCTCCTCCTTTCTTTTTTTTTTTTGTCTTACTGCATTGGTTTAAACCAGATTATTGGTAAGTCATAGTAGTTGTAGGAGGTGTCTTGTGTCAAGTATGGTATCAGAGTCACCAATTTTTGTTAATTTCCTACTTTTTCAAAGTGGAGGTAAATGTTGTACTAAGGCAAATACCCTTTCAGAGACAGCTAAGATGAACATATATTATTTTTCCTTTGCTTCATTGGTGCTAGGTTACGTGGGCTTACTAACATTGAACCATTCATATGTTCTAAATGAAATATTTTTTATTTTGTTCCAATATCATATTGATGTTTAATTTTATAGCAATATCTGTCTTTCCCTAGAATGGATGATGACCTTGTTATTGGACATGGTGCAAGATAAGACATCTCCAACCACTCTTATACATTTGGCTTTCAGGTTTCTGTACATCATCACCAAGGTAATGTTTGCATGGTACTGTAGAGTTGACAAGACACTTTCTTCACATACTTGGTCCAGAAGTTACCCTTAAAATGTTATTTTTTGAGGGCTGGCAGAGTAGCTCAAGTAGTAGAGTGCCTGCCTAGAAACCATGAGGCCCTGAGTTCAAACCCCAGTACCACCAAAAAAAAAAAAAAAAAGTAAACGAACAAAAACAAAAAACCCAAAACAAAACAAAATTAAAAAAACCTCAAATGTTATTTCTCTAGAAATATGGTTCTCAGACACAAGTTGTAGTTTCATTCTCTGACTTTTTACCATACATTGGGGGTTTGGATCTTAGTGATGGGGAGGGGAGTCCTTTGGCTGGAACAGAAAGTTTCTCACAAGGGAAAAGGAGAAGAGTTTGGTGGAAATGGAAGTCTTCTCCCACTTGAGTGTGTGATGAGTTTCCCAGGCATCTGCTGCCCTGCAGGTTCTGAGGAAACAGTTCTGGGTCTTTGGGCCCCTGCTGATGCCCATGTGCTCACCAGACTTAAAGTCAGGGAGTGACGGGGAGCTGTTGCTGCATGGAGTTTGTGGTTCTTGGAGCATTCCTGCTGTGCACAAGGAGAGGCCCTTCTCTGGCAAGAGAACACTGGGCATTTTTTGAAAGTGTAAATGGGGACCTCTGAGGTTCATGGGAACTTAATCTTCATAAATGTCAAAGGATAATCTATGAACAAAATGGAAGCAAAAGTTTTTACTTTGTACCACATCTGTATTACTGAAGAGCACAATAAGATTCTTAGCCAAATTGGAATAGAACACACTGAATGAATAGATGATTAGGAAGCAAACAGAGTTAACTTTCTTGTTCCTTTGGTCTCACTAAGTAGTATCATTGTAATGGGGCAGAATTCTCTTTGGTCATTGTGGGGCATAGTGGGTGTTTTTCTGATGAGAGGAAAAGTAATTTTTCTGCTTTCTGTATTTTCTAATTATATAATATTTCAATGTATTTTTATTTGGAAGGTGCGAGGGTATAAGATATTTCTTCGGTTGTTTCCTCATGAAGTAGCTGATGTACAGCCTGTGTTAGATATGTTCACATATCAGAACCCTAAAGACCATGAGGTGAGTGCTGCCCTCAGCCTCCTTGCTGGAAGCTCCATTCTCCTGTCTCCTTTGGTTTATCTTAATGTGTTTTGTATCACTCCCCCCACTTTTCTTTTTTTCTTTTGGATTTCCAAAAGTCTTTACACATGTTGCTTTAAATAGTTCTCCTTTAAAGTATGCCTTTTATTAAAAAAAAAAAACAAATCTATTTCTTATAACTCACAGCGTGACTTGTGCTGGGTCCCCAAGATTATCCCCAGACCCCTCTATACCCAGGGAGACACACAGGACTCAGCCCAGAAGTTCTGTGGACGATATGGGACCGATGGCACTTAAGGGCCTGTGGGTGTTGGGTTGGCAGGGAGAGCAGCAGGACCATCTCTGGAATGTGGCTTTCGCTATGTGGCCCAGGCTGGCTTGAACTCACGATCCTCTTCTGAGTGTTGGGGTTATGGGTGTGTGTTACTACCTCGGCAGCTCTGTTTTTTATATAGAAATCGTTCTGACTGTGATTTAACTCCTTAGACATGGGAAACCCGCTACATGCTTTTACTGTGGCTCTCTGTGATCTGCCTGATCCCTTTCGATTTTTCACGTCTTGACGGGAACCTGCTCTCTCAACCCGGGGAAACACGAATGCCCATCATGGATCGTATTCTGCAAATAGCAGAGGTAAATATGGCCACACAACAGTTACTGGTAATTGTGTCTTCTTTCATGCTCATACTGTATTAAATTAGAGTTCAATTATGTAAGCGTATTTCTTTAATTGCCATTATTCTTTTCAGTGAGGTAAAATCCCACCTTAGTGTATTTTGAAATTGTGATAATTCAAATAGAGCTCAGGATTAATTATCTTAGCTAATCTCATTTCTTCATAGATAATACAACTACTTTGTTAAGCATGGTAATGACATTTAAGAGGCTTTAGGATAAGAGAAAATAAGAATTTATTTTGCATTTAATTTTCAACATCGCATAAATAATACATGATCATTGTAGGAAACCTAGAATATGATGACAAGACAGAATATTAAATTGAAACCTGTCAAATTCTTGCAGTCCTACTTGGTTGTTGGCGACAAGGTGCGAGATGCAGCTGCTGTCCTTGTGTCCAAGTAAGTCCTGCTGGCTGCCTGGGCTGTTGACTGATGCTGACTGGTGCTTGAGAGGGTCTGTGGCACACTGTTGTTTTTGAGTGTGTTTGTTAGTCCTCAGATGAAGGCCCTCAGGGTCTTTTTGTCTCTCAGATCCTCTTGCTTTCTTTGGGGAACACACCGTGTTGGTTGGGCACAGAAGATACCCAAACCTAAAGTGATTGCCTTCAGTGCAGATTTGGGGCTTGTGAGGTTACCTGGCAGGCCCTTGGACAGGAGTGTAGTCCTAGATCAGGTGCAGCCAGGATTCCCTGCTGTGTGGTGAGGCCTTCCCATGGGAGGTGTGGAAATTATGAGCCCTTGAAAGTCACCTAAGAAGCAGCTCATGCTGTGGTCCGTACTGATCATGAGTACACTCAGGTGTATATGGCATAGATGAAAATCCCCACCAGGGCTAGGGATGTGACTCAGTGGTAGAGCTGCCCCTAGCATGTGTGAGGCCCAGGGCTGGACCCCCAGTACTGTGTGAATGCGTGTGCGCACACACACACACACACACACACACACACTCTTTCTGTATACATGAAACCACAGACAGGGGAAGATATATTCCCTGAGGCCTGGGTAAGATGACCAGCACAGCCTGCATGAGAGACACCACAAAGTGTGTGTGAAGGCTGAGTGCTCCTGGCTTTGTGAAATTGGAGAGTGCTGGTGTTTTAAGTGACATGGAATTTAAGTACTTTTATAGTTAAATTAGTTAGATACTTTGGCATTTTTCTGCTGCTGTGTTGGGTGAAAGTTGGTAATAAAGCCCTGTGGTGGTTTTCACTAGGAAATGGTTGGCATCTAACTTGGTGTACAGTGTGACTTTGCTGTGTCCACTCTGAAGGTGGAGGAGACACTTTGTAGAGCAGCTGGGAGTCCTGGATGCCATGCTGGAAGGCACGGTCCAGTGTGAGGTGGGGGCCTGAGAAGGGGAGAGGAAGGAGCACTTATGTCCCCGGGAGCCAGTGAGGCCCTTCCTTGGGACACCCTCATCTGTGAGGAAGAAACTCCCTGGCAGAGGCTGCTCCCTGCTTTAGCAAGGACTGAAAAGATGAGAGGTTTCTTTATCTTTATAAAGGTGTGGTGTTCACTTTTTGTCACTGTGCCAAAACACCTAAAAAAAGGGAGAAAGGTTTATTTTGGCTCAGGGTTTCAGAGGTTTTTGTCACTGGTGCTGGTTCCTTCATTTCTGGGCCTATGGTGAGGCAGAGCATCGTGGTGGACAGGGTGTACGGAGCAGAGTTGCTTGTCTCGTGGTGGCCAGAAGCAGAGAGACAGGAAGGGGCCAGACAGGAGGTACCGTCCCTCCAGAGTGTGCCCCCAGTGATCTACCTCCTAGTTAAAGTGATCACCTCCCGATCACTTTATGACTATCAGTGGATGAATCCACTGAGGAGATCAGGTCCAATCACATCCCAAAAGCACATCTGCTGGCAATCTGGTCTTTAACACATGAGGCTTTGGGGACACATCCGGTTCAAATAGTAATGAAAAATAATGCAATATTTTAGAACATGCCCTGGGGGTGCTGCCACTTGTGTCTTGCTGACTTGGCTCAGCTTCATCCTTTCCTGAGGAGGTGGTAGGATGTGAATGTATTTCTGTAGGGCATAGCACAGCTGCCCTCCTGATTTGTCACTAAGGTTATAGTTCACATGAAACTTTGTACCATTCCTGCTGAATACTCAGGATGAATGTGGAGAGAGGGTGTTATGGGTTTGAGATGCAATTACTGCAAAGGTTGAACAAATTGGCCAGCTGGGTAGGAATCCTACAAATGTTTGCTAACTTTGTTAAATGAAAAGTAGTATCTGTTTTATTCTTTTTTTTCCTAGCTATTTTTTTGTTAGTATGTATCAATTGTACAAAATAATGAGTTTCATTGTGAATGGCTTGTTATTCTTAGGACTAGCATAGTGATGTGGTAGATTTATGCTAAGCTTGACTCTGGAGTGTCTGTAGAGTGGGAAGGCAAGACCCTAAACCTTTATTCATTCCCTGGGGTCCTCCAGGAAAAGTGACAGCTGGGAGGGCTCCAGCGCCATCTGGTGTTGAGCGGAGCAAACGTTTCTCTCAGTGGAGCTGGTTTCCATATGGGGACAGAGGAGAGGCTGGGTCTTCCCTGGGTCTTCCATGTGAAAGCCTGGTGTCAGATGCACCAACACCATCCCTGGAAGGAGTCCACCTCTGCTTGGCTCCCATGATCCTCAGTTGTCTTTTTGCTTTTTGGTGGGGGTGTGAAAGGTGGGGCTTTGTCTACAGTGCTGGGTGGCCCTGTGGTTGGTTGGTGGAGGCATTGCCTGGCTGCCACCTCCACCCACTGCAGCATCGAATGCCCTGCTCAGCCTGCGGCTCTGGAACTGCACCTGCTTCCTTTAATTAGCTGAATTTTTAAACCTGGGCTTCCTGTGACTTTTTTTTTTTTTTTTTACATTTTTTGAAAATAATTTTTTTTTGAGGCACTGGAGTTTGAACTCAGGGCCTCAGCCACTTCTTGTAACTCCTAATGGTGTTAAATTGTTGACAATACATTTAGATAGAAGTGTGGCCTTATTAAAACTTTGCTATAGAAAAATACAGCTTCAACAAATTAATTAGTCAAGTAATTTTTGAGACAAGGTGTCAGTCACTGGGTAGTCCAGGCTGGCCTTGATTTGTGATCCTCCTGCCTCAGCTGCCCAAGTGCTAGGATTACAGGTATGCATCACTATGCCTAGCTACAGCTTTACTCCGTATTAGTTTGAAAAAGTAGCTTTTTTTAACCTTTTCTTTTTAAAAGCAAAGTGTGCTGGGTGTGGTGGCATAGGCCTGTAGTTCTAGCACCTCGGAGGCTGAGGCAGGAGGATTACTTGAGCTAGGAGTTCGAAGCCAGAGTAGCTAGTGACACCTTGTTACCAGAAACCCAGTTCCCTGGCCTCAATACCAGTTCACAATTTACAAATAACAAGAGCAGGGTTTTGAGGAAAAGGAAATAAGGTTTATTATTCCTCAGGCAAAGAGGAGGACAGGGGAAGTCAATCTCTCAAACCTCTGTGATCCCACTTCTGAGAGAAAATGCCCATCTTTTAAAGGAGCGTTCAAGGGCTCAGGTTGACTCCGTGGCCCAGATGCATGTTCACCATGGCTGCTGGCCTTGATTTTCCAGGTGCCTGGTGCCACTTCTCTGAAGCTGTATGTGGTGACTGGCAGGTTTACTGCTGTGGTGGTCAGTAAGAGATAAGGGGTAGAGAGCTACCTGGTCTAATTGGAGAGCAAAGGGAGTTAATCTTTGTTACTGGATTCTCCAGAAATTGAACAGAGAATGTTAGTTTAAAAACTGGCCAGCATGCAAGCTGGCTACACAAAAAGTTTTTCTCTTTTGTGGTCCTGGTTACATTATCCCCACTGTCAATTTATTCCTTCCATTTCTATGGAAAAGAGGTGTCACAATCATCTGTTTTCTGTCTTTAGTTAATTCTTGGGCCCAAGTAAGGAGACAGTGCTCCTCAGCAAAAACAGCTTTTAATCACCGGTTGGGGTTATTGGCAGCCCTGCTTCTGGGTAGGGCGCCTGCACAGAGTACCTGTCTGTTCGTCTTGGGGGTCAGGGTAAGGATCTATCCCTGATTCCTCCCTTGAGCTCTGGACATACAAGGCTCTTCAGTGGGTGTTGCATGTGGAGTATCCAAATTGGATCTCTCTGTCCTTTTGTCCTCCTCGCCTCCCTTCTTTGGAGATGGCCTCACCCATTGGAGAGGAACCACTACAGTTGACAAACTGGCACCTCTACAGCTCTTTCCTCCTACCCAAGTGTCCTGGAAGTGCAGTGAGGATATGAGTCAGACCTGCTGCCTGTCTCTCCTTGGCTACCTGACCTGCCTGGCCCACCTGGTTCACCTAGTCCCCTCTGCTTCCTGCCTGGGCTTCCTTTTTATTCCTGGGATCCTCTCAGCTCCTTCTGTCCCTGGGACAGCTGAGCTTTCTACCCAGCTTGTGGCCTTTTGTGTCCAGTTCTCTCCTTGCAGGTCTCCTTGAGGTTATCCTTGTGTCCTTCTGGGGAGGTAGCACCTTATCTTGTTCCTCCTTTTCCTCGCTATTTCCTTCTTGATGTCTCCCCTACAAACATGTGGGTTGCATTTCTCCCAGTGTCAGCCCTGGGAGGGCAGCACTTTACCTGTTCTCCTCCTGGCAGGGCCAGTCTCCAGTCACTGAGCTAAAGAGCTGGGTACTGGCCTGGGAGCTGCCAGAGGAGGAGTGGCGAGGGACTGGGGTCTGGTTTGTGAGCTGGAGGATGGCACTGTCCATACCCTGATAGCTGGGTGTCTGTGGGAGGAAATAAGTGTGCAGTACAAGGTTAGGGGGTAGACATTGGAGGGGAAGGATTGACCCATGTGGGTTTGTTAGAGTAGGTCCTTGGGGTAGGGCTGGCCCCTGGGCCATGGTGGTTGTGGGAGAAGGTCTCTGGCTGGGGTTGGCCACTGCGTCCTGAGGTAGAGAGGAGCAGTTGGGAAGAGGGGAGAGGCTGAGAAGTTAGCAGGCACTTCCTGGCTGTGGTGTGGACAGAGGTGTCCAGTGGTTTGTAAGGGTATGGGGTGAGTTGGGGTTCAGAGAGGAGAAGGTGAGGCAGTGAGGCCTGTGTGTGGCCTGAAAGATCCTGGTGGGGAGTTGGCTACTGGGGCCATGTTAGGCAGTAACTTGGTCTCCCAGAGAGAGGAGCAGATGAAGGAGGCCCCATGTGGGCAGCTCACATACAGAGGGACCTAGCACAACTGGGAGGATGCATGTGTTTGGGTGGGCAGTGGGATATGGATGCACTGTCAAACTGGAGCTTATTGAGCTTCTCCTGCATTCCTGTTCCCTCGGACAGGTTTATCACACGTCCCGATGTCAAGCAGAGGAAGATGGATGACTTCCTGGACTGGAGCCTGTGCACCTTGGCCCGGTCCTCCTTCGAGACCATCGATGGCATCATTACCATGGATGGGACATTGCAGGCCCTGGTAAATACTGTCTGCTCTGTACCTTGGGGACAGCTTGTGAGGCTCTGGGGCAGCAGGGATTGGAACTTTCCCTGGGCTATGGGGTATGGTTCACCTGGGATTCCTTACTGGAATGACAGGAGCGTGGTAGGAGTTGTTTGCCTCGCCTGGCCCTGTTTCCTTTCCCACTGTTGAGGCCTGCCTGCATAGGTGAAGGCTGTGGAGCCCTACATTGCCACCAGATGGCAGTGGTGCCTGAGGAGCTGCAGGCAGGCCCTTAAGTGTTTTCTGCTTAGTTTTGTTACAGAGCACAATTATTGGACCCAGCCCTAGTAAATAAGTTAAAACAAAAAAAAAAAGGCAGATGGTCTGAAATCTGATTTTGTTTAATACGTGGGTTCCAAAGATGTTTCTAGCATCTTTGTTTAAACATACACCAGTCACCCATCAGGTGTCTGTCGATGTCTTACCTCCTGCCTGTTGATGGCTTTCTGCTTTGCTTGTTTGTTGTGTGGCTTTTACTGCTGACAAAATATCCATGTGAATTCTGCAGAAAGGGTAGGATCAGCATTCTGGAGGGTGTGGACAGCCCTCCAGGGCTGTGGGCTCCCGGGTCAGCATTCTGGAGGGTGTGGACAGCCCTCTGGGGCTGTGGGCTCCCGGATCAGTGTTCTGGAGGGTGTGGATGGCCCTCTGGGGCTGTGGGCTCCCGGATCAATGTTCTGTAGGAAGTGGACAGCCCTCCAGGGCTGTGAGCTCCCAGGGCAGTGTTCTGGAGGGTGTGGATAGCTCTCTGGGGCTATGGGCTCCCGGATCAGTGTTCTGGAGGCAGTGGACAGCCTTCCAGGGCTGTGAGCTCCTGGGTTGGTATTCTAGAGGGCATGGATGGCCCTCTAGTGCTGTGGACTTCTGGATCAGTGTTCTGGAGGGTGTGGATAGCCTTCTGGGGCCATGGGCTCCAGGATCAGTGTTCTGGAGGGCATGGATGTCCCTCTGGGACTATGGACTCCTAGATTAGTGTTTTGGAGAGTGTGGATGTCCCTCTGGGGTTGTGGGCTCCTGGGTCAGTGTTCTGGAGAGTGTGGACAGTCCTCTGGGTCTGTGGGCTCCCTGGTGTGCTCTGGAGGGTATAGTTGGCCCTCTAGGGCCATGGGCTCCAGGATAAGCAAACCCTCCCACCCTACTCTTTCTTTGATTTCAGTGGGTGAGATTTGTTTGAGAACTATTCTTGTCCTTGGAGGCTGAGAAGCCCTGCAGCCAACTCAGGACAGCAGGCCCTGTGGAGCATGTTTGAATGGAGGCAAACATCCTGCCACCCAAGCAGGATGGCATCTCAGTGTCTGCTTGTCTACCTGCCTTGCCGTGCAGGTTCTAACATACAGTGGGAGGCCTAAGGGATGGATAGAGAGCAGGTGGATCTTGGTAACCCTGGGGTGGACAGGCGCCAGGGTGAGGCAGATAAGCTGAGGCTCACTGGACCTCACATCCATTGCTGTGTCTTGGCTGTGGGAATGAGGAACATTTGGGTGTTTGTTTCTTTCCAGTTATGTTGCCATTGTTTTCAGGGGGCTGTCTTTCAGAACACATCAGAAAGAAACCTGGGAAAACATTTCCTGCGTCCTGCACCCCTTCCATCCTAACTCATGGATGTGCTGTGCTACAGCAGTTGAAAATCAAGATTTAATTCATGTACCATGAGCACTTTGCCCCTTCCATGAGTAGTTCAGTCATTGTGGCCCACTCACAAGGTGCAGCACTGCCACTTCCCTCCACCATGTCATCACCCTTTGTCACACAGTTCTCTGCAGCCTCCAGTGACCACTGACCTGTGTCTGTCCCTGGAGTTGCCTATTCTGAACAGTCACATGTATGGACTCATATGGTCTGTGGCCTCTCCTGTCTGGCTTCTTTCACTGAGCACAGTGGCCTCAGGGTTCACCCACCTGGTGGCATTTGTCAGTGTTCTCCTTACTAGGGCCAGAGAACATTGTACTGTATGGCTGCTTTTGGCTATGGTATGTATAAGTTTGTAGATAGTACTGAGGGTCTCTTGTACTCTTCCCCAGCTCATAGTTTCTTCTTTTTTTGTTTTGTTTGGTTCTGGGGATCAAACCCAGGCCCTTGTACATGCTAGGTAAGCACTCTACTACTGAACTACACCCTCAGCCCTGGCAATAATTTTTTAAAAACTTCAAAAATAGTTTTTGAAGTTTTTTTTTTTTTTTTAAATTATGTTTGCTTATCACTCACATCGATGAAATGCAGGTGCCTTCTTGTGCAGGCATCTTTGGGGTTCACTAGTCCAGATACACAGCTCTACCCTGGGAGGCTCTTTTTGCTGCTGTATGGGCACCTAAAGAGGATTTTGCTGTGATTTTTAGTTTACAACTATAAACATTCTCTTTTTCTTTTGGTGGGATTGGGGTCTGAACTCAGGGCCTGCACTTGCAAAGCAGGCACTCTACTGCTTGAGCCACAACTCCAGCTCTGACTTTCAATTTAATTGCTGCAGTGGAGGTCAGTGCAGGCTGAGGCTGACCCTGTGAGGAATCTTGGTGGGGAGGAGTAGGGTGAAGTCACATTGTGCTACTGTGTTGGGTGGATCCTGGGGGAGGTATACACTTTATTCTGGTGAAGGATGGTAGATTGAGATGGTTAATTGAAGGAGTGGGTATAAGTGGGTTCTCATTTTTTTTGGCATGAGTCTTACTGAAAAGTCTTAGATCAAGAGAACAATGGAGATGATAAAGTAAAGCTGGAGCCTGTTGATTCAGGTGACTCTGCAGGGAGGGGGTTGGGCCTGTCCAGAACTTGGGTGCTGCTTGGTGGGGAAGCAGGCATGGTTGACCTCAGGTGAGTCAGTGTTTTAGACCACCTTTGCCCAGTCAGCAATCTTTTTTTTTCTTTCCTCCTTCTTCTTTTCTTTTCTTTTCTTTTTTTTTTTGAGACAGGGTCTTGCTGTGGAGCTCAGGCAGGCCTCAAACTCAGGATCATCCTGTGTCAGCCTCCTGAGTGCTGGGATTTCAGGCCTGCACTACCATGCTGAGTTTGCAGGTTCCATTCTTTTGGACTCCCAGGGTCTCCTGCAGCCAGCTCCTTGTCAGCCTGGCCCCAGAGTTTCCCTCCCTTGCTCTGATCTGCCCTCTCCATGGCCTCATGGAGGTCAGGGTCCAGAGGGTCAGCATGTTGCTTTCCCAGGGAAGGTGGGCTTCTGTGAAAGATGATTGTGGCCTGCAGTATTCAGGCCACCATGGAGGACTCAGAGGTCATCCTGGCCAGTGCTCCTGCGCTCATTCCTTGGAGCCCAGCAGCCCTTCTTGGCTTGGGGAGATGATGGTGGCTGCTTTTTGTCTAGTTCTGCACAGCTACTTTTTTCCCTTTTTGATCATCTTGTTGCTTGTCTCTAGATGGTTCCTAAGTTTTCTGTTTCTCCTTCCCATGTGGCAGGTGCAAGGGGCACAGATTGCACTCAGACACCCAAGGACAGGCAGGCTCCCTGCCCCGTCCCTGCTGGCTGTGCGAGTGGGTTAGGATTTCTTTCAGTGGTGTAAACCAGTCAGACAGGGAGGTGCTTTTTATTTGAATATCTCCAAGTTCCATGTCGGGGGAGAGTTTTCTTTTTTCCCTTCCTCCCGAGGTATAAAAAGGTTACCAGAGGCTTAGAAAAGCTGAGCCTTTTGTCCCCCAGCCTGGCGTGTGTGGCAAAGGAGGGGGGCAGAGTGCCGGGGCAGTTTGGCAACATCACCTCCGCTCTATCTAGAGAGATTTGCCGTGAGCTATGGTGAGCAATTGTCTGACGCAGACAGCTGAAATCCTGGGAAGTGGATGAATGAAACTGCTGTGGAGCAACAGCCCTGGTGGCCCGGCCTCCCGCAGCTCTCAGTGCTGTCCCGACCCTTCCAGCATCTCCCCAAGGCCCTGCTGTTTCTGGGAAGCCCAGGTCTTTCCAGAGCCAGCCTGTGCTTCCCCTTCTCTTTTGAAGGGTCAGTTGGGTCTGATCGAGGCTCCAGGGCAGGAGGAAGTTGCGCTGAGCTCAGAGGCGGAGCGGTTTCGCTATGGGCTTGTTAGACCTGCAGGCAGAGGGTTGGGTGTCCTGTGCATGATGAAACTTGCAAGTGTATTGTGCTTCAGGATTGCATGTTTCCTTTGATGCACTTGGCTTAGTTTTTATCCACCTGTTCATTAGTGTGGGTTAGGCGAAACAGGTGAACCCTGAACAAGTCCCATCGAAACTGGGGTTGGTTTTATTTCCCTCGAAGCATGGGCCTCTTGTAGCGATGAGTTTTAGCTCTTGTGGGAGGGAAACAAGTGTTTGGCAACCTCATCATTTCACTGGGGGCCCCTTTACTCTCGCTTTGTAGAACACCCTTTGGTTTAGTCCCACTTTGAATGTACATTTGTAAATTAAAGAAGTTTGAGGAAGACACTATTAAAAATAAAGTGTTTGTCATTCGAATGTGTTCTCTCTCTGTTTACCTGTGGTAGTGTGCACTCGTGGTCTTAACACTCAGGTTAGAAGGTTCTGATCATTGTGTGGTTTCTTTCTGTTCCCTGTGGTGAGGTGGCTGTGAAGGGGCAGGAACTTGGGCTGCTGGCAGGGAAGGTGCTGCTGCCTGTGTGGATCACATCTCCTCTTCACAGTGAGGAACTTAAGGCTGGGGATGTGACTCAATAGTGGAATGCTCACCTAGCATGTACAAAGCCCAGGGAATCCCAAGAACACCAGGGCCCACAGGCCCACCCCAGCCTGCTGTACAATGCCTGCCAGGAGACTTGTCAAGGCTTCTGTATTTCTTGCATGTGGTTTAAAGGATAAGAAGGGTCAGGAGCCCAGGTATGGGCAACTGTTGACCAGATAACCCAGATGGGCAAGTCGGAGGGGTTGGCACTGTGTGTCCTGCTTGGATCTGTGTTGACTCTGCCTGGATTCCATCTTTCCTGTTGACCTGAGGCACAGGTGAGGTGCCTTGCTCCATCGGGTTGGGACTTGATGTGACAAACCTTTCTTGTTTCAGAGGTGT